TTTTTCTTTTTAAAAAAAAAAAAAAATTTCCCACTAAAAAAAAGGGGCCAGTTTGGGGAACCCTTTTTTTTTTTTTCCCAAACGATTTTTTTTTTAAAAGGTCATTCCCCCTCTTTAAAATTTAAAAAAAAAAATTTTTGTTTGGGGGTCCGGGGGTCCCCCAACACGGTTAAAAAGGGGGGGCCCTGTTAGCTGAGAACCGGGCCAGTGGTCCCCCATATTTGGGAACCCTTTTCAAAAAATTTAAATCCCCAAACAAAAAAAAAATTTACTTTTTTCCCAAACAAAAAAACCTAAGCACGTGTCCTCTTCCGTACCGAGGTCTGGGGGGGGGTTTTTCGGTTTTTGTCTTAAAGTTGGACTCAAAATTGGTAAAGCCCCCTTTCCCCTCACCTGGTTTTCTTTATTAAAAGAAAAAAAAAACCCAACATGGTCCAGAAAGTTTTAAACACCCCGGTTTAGAGGGGGCGGGGATTGCATTTTTCCCCCCCTGAAACCCCCGCCCTGTCCCACCCCGCCCGAAAGCAAAACTTCCCCGCCCAACCGAGTCTGAAGGGTTTTTCTCTGCCTTGTCAAAAATAATTTTGAAAAGCAAAAGAAAAACCCTTTCCAAACGGTTGTGGGAAAAAAAAAAACAAAAAACCTGCGACCTCGGCCCCTCCCAAGCTGCAGGCAACCCGCCGGCCGGATGATTTTTTCCTCCCCCTCAACCCCCAGGCCACCCGCCCCAACCCTCAACAAAAGCTTCCCCTACCCAACCCTCCAAAAACCCCTAAACGGTCCCCGAAAACATTTTAAAATTTGGGGAAAGGGGAAAGAAGAAAAAACCATTTAAATTTGGTGTGAAAAAAATTTTATTTTTAAAGGGGCGTTATTGGGGTTAAAAGGGGGCAAAAGGGGGGAGGGAATTTTTTGTGGTTTGGAGGGACGTTTCGGGGAGGGGCAAGTTTTTTTTACCCCGGGCCCTTTTTGGGGGTTGGGGGCAGGTTTTTGGGCGGGGGCTTTTCTGGTGGGGGTTTGGGGCCCCTTTTGGGTTGTATGAGGGGGCCCAAGTTTTGGTGTGTTAAGGGATAGTTAGGGTGTGTTGGGGGGCCCCATGTTGGGGTGTGTATTGGGGGCCCTGTTTTGGTGGTTTTGGGGGCGTTTGGGTTTGGGGGGTTTTTATGGTGTTTTTAAAAGGGGGGCTTTTTTGGGTTTTTGGGAGGTTTTTTTTTTGGGTTTTGGGTAGAGGGCCCCCTTTTTGGTGTGTTTTGAGGGGCATTTTTGGGGTTTGTATGAGGGGCATAGTTTTTTTGTTGGGGCTGGGTTTGTATTGAGGGCTAGTTATGGTGGTTTGGGGGCATAGTTATGGTGGTATTGAGGAGGCCCCTTTTAAAAATTGGTGTGTTAGAGGGGAGGTTTTGGTGTTATAGAGGGGTGGGTTTGGTTTTGGTTATAGAAGGGGTTTGTTATGGTTGTAAGGGGGTTTTTTGTTTGTTTTTCGTTTTTGGGGGTTTGGTTTTGGGGCTTTGGGTTTTTTGGGGGCCCCCTTTTATTCCCCCCTTTTTTTGTTTTTGGAGCGTTTTTTTTTTACCCCTGTTTGGTGTGTCCCCTTTCTTTTTTTTTTATTTGTGTTGTTTTTTTTGGGGTGGTTGGTGTTTTCCTTTGGTTTTGGTGTTTCCCCCTCCGTTGGTTTGGTGTGGTTTGTTTGTTTGTGGTTTTGTTTTGTGTGGTTTTTTTTGTGGTGGTTTTTTTTTTTCCCCCTTTTGGGGGGTTTTTGGTTTTTGGGTGTTTTTGGTGGTTGGTGTTTTTTTGGGGGGTTTTTTTTTGGTTTTTTTTTTTTTTTGGTTTTGTTTTTCCTTGGGTTGGGGGGTTTTTTTTTTTTTTTTTTTTGCTTGGTGTTTTTTTTTTGGTTTTTTTTTTGTTTTGTTTTTGTTTGGTGCTTGGGTTTTTTTTGGTTTTTTTGGGGGTTGTTTTGGTTTTGTTTTTTGTTTTCCTTTGGTTGTTGGTGGTTTGGGTGGTTTTTGTTTTTTTGTTCGGGGGGCCCTTTTTTTGTTTTTATTTTGGTTTTTTGTTTATGGTGGTTTTGGTTGGTTTTCGTTGGTTTTGGTTTTTGTTTTTTTTCCTTTTGGTGTTGGCCCGTTTTTTTTGGGGGGTGTTTTGGGTTTTTTGGGTTTTTTTGTTTTTTTTTGGTTTTTTTTGGGGTTTTGTGTTGGTGGTGGGTTGGTTGTTTGGGGTGGTTTTTGGTTTTTCGTTGGTTGGGTTTTTTGGGTTTTTGGGTTTTTTTTTTTTTTTTTTTTTTTGGTTTTTTTTTTTGGGGGGGTTGGGGTTTTTTTGTTTGGTTTTTTGGGGGGGGTTTTTGGGTGGTTGGTTTTGGTGTTTTTTTTAGGGGTTTTGTTTTTTTTTTTTTTTTTGGGGAGGTTTTGGTTTTTTTTTTTGGGGTTTGGTTTTTTTGGTGTTGGTGTGTTGGGGGGTTTTTGTGTTGGTTTTTTTTGTTGGGGTGGTTGGTGTTTGTTTGGTGGTTGGTGTGTTGGTGGTTTTTGGGTGTTTTGGGGGCTTTTTGGGTGTTGGTTTTGGGGTTGGTGTGTTGCGGGGTGTTTGGTTTTGGTGGTGGTTTGGTGGTATGGTGGTGGTTGGTGTTTTTTTTTTTTGTGTTGGTGGTGGTTGGTGTGTATGGTTTTTGGGGTGTGTTGGTGGTGGGTTTTGTTGTTTTTGGTGGGTGGTTGGGGGTTGTTTTTTTGGGGTTTGGGGTGGTCGTTTTTTTTTGGTGGGTTTTTTGGTGTTTTGTTTGGTGTTTGGTCTTTGGTTTGTTTGGGGTTTTTTGGTTTTTGGTTTTTTTTGGGGGGTTTTTTTTGGGTTGGTTTTGTTGTTGGTTTTTTTTGGTTTTTTGGTGGTGGTTGGTTTTTTTGTGGTTGGTGTGTTGGTGGTTTTTGGTGTTTGGGTTCGGTTGGTGGCCCTTTGGAGGTGGGTTTGTTGGGGGGGGTTTTTGGTTGTTTTCCCTTTTCCCTGTTTGGGTGTTTTTCTCTTTCTTTTTTTTTTTTCCTGGGGTTTTTGGGTTGGTGTTTGGGGTGAGTTTGGTGTTTTAGGTGGTTTTTTTTTTGGTGGGGTTTTGGTGTGTTGTGGTGGGGTTTTGGTGTTTTGGGGTGGTTGTGTGTTTTGGTGGTTGGTGTGTATGGTGGTGGTTTTGTGTTTTTAATGGTGGTGGTTTTTGGTGTTTTTTTTTTGGTGGTGGTTTGGTTTTTTATTTTGGTGGGGGGTGTGTTTGGTGGTTGGGTTTTTTTTGGGGGTTTTGGGTTTTTTTTGGTGTGTTTTTTGGGTGGTGTGTTTGGTGGTTTTTTTGGGTTTATGGGTTGTTGGTTTTGGTGGTGGTTGGGTTTTTTGGTTTTTTTGTGTTTGGGGGTGGTTGGGTGTTTTTGTGGTGGTTGGTGTGTTTTTTGGTGTGGTGGTGGTTGTTTGGGGGGGGTGGGGGGGGTGGGGGGGGGGTTTTTTTTTTGGGGCTCGCGGGGTTTCCTTTTTTTTTTGGTGGTGGTTTGGTGTGTTGGGGGGGTTGTTGGGTTGGTGGTGGTTGGGTTTGGTAGGTGGTTGGTGTGTTTGGGGGTGGGTTGGGTTTTTTTGTGGGGGTTGGTGTGTTGTGTTTTTGGTTTTGTTTTTGGGGGGGGGTTGGTTGGGGGTGTTTTGGGTGGTGGTTGGGTGTTTTTGGGGTTTTGGGGTGTTTGGCGGTGGTTTGGTGTGTTTTGTTGGTGGTTGGTGTGTTTGGGGTGGTTGGTGTGTGGTGGTTTGGGGGTGTTTTGGTGGTTTTGGTTTGGTTTTGGGGGTTTTTTTGGGTTTTGTTCCTTGGGGTTTGGTTTTTGGGGTTTGTTTTTTGTTTGGTTTGTTTTGGGGGGGGTTGGTGGTGGGGTGTTTTGGTTTTTGTTTTTTGGGGGCCTTTTGGGTTTTTTGGTGGTGGTTTGGTTTTGGGGTGGTGGTTTGGGTGTTGGTGGTTTGGTTGTGTTTGGTTGGTTGGTGTTGGTTGGGGTTTGTGTGTTTGGGGTGTTGGTTTGTGTTGGTGGTGGTTGGTGTTTTGGGGTAGGTTGGTTTTTATAGGTTTTTGTTTTTTTAAAGTGGTGGTTGGTTTGGTTTTTTGGTGCTTTGGGTGGTTTTTTATTGGGGTTTGGGTGGTTTTTTTGGGTTTATGGTTTTAATGTTTTGGTTTTTTGGGGGTGTTTGGTGTGTTGGGTGGTGGGTTGGGGTTGTTTGATGGTTAGGGTTTTTTTGGGGTTTTTCTTTTTTGTTGGTTTGTGGTTGGGGGGGTTTTTGGTTGGTGGTTTTTGGTAATTGGGTGTTTTGGGTTGAAATTTGGGTTTTTGGTAGGTGGTTGTTTTTTGGTGGTGGTTGGTGTGTTGGTTGGTTTGGGTTGGTTTGGTTAGGTGGGGTTTGTGGTTGGTTTTTTTGTTTGGTGTTTTTTTGGTTTTGTTTAAAGTTTTGGTTGGTGTTTGGTTGATTTTGGTGTTTTTTTGGGGTTGGTTGGGGTGTTTGTGGTCCGGTTGGGGTTTAGTGGTTGTTGGTTTGGGTTTTGGTTTTGGTTTTGGTGGTTGGGGGTTTTTGGGGTGGTTTTTTTTGGTTTGTTAGTGGTGGTTTTTGGGTTTTATGGTTTTTGTTGGGTGTTGGGGTTTTGTTTTTTGGTGGTTTTTGGTGTTTTGTGGTAAGTTTGTGTTGGTGGTAGAGTTGGTGTGTGTTGAGAAGGTGCACGGCGGTTGTGCAGCAGTACCGTGATCTCCCACCATGATGATGTTGACACATCGGTGGAGTTTCATCTGTTTCAGGCCGTCCATCAGCTGACCAATGATCTTATCAATCTCCTTCAGAGGGTTGTTCAGCTGCAGCACAGAATATACACTGATCAATATTCACATAGCAATCACAATGATCAGGGAATATCGTAAGAGTATTGATCCCTGTACGGATCATCAAAATAACAGAACACAATCACAATCTCTAGAAAATGGTTCATCAATTCCACCCTGTACTGGTCATGCATGTACATGCCTGGGTTAGTTTGGGGCTGTCCTAGGGCTGGACAGGTGAAACAGAATGACAGTGTTTGTGCTACAGTGTTCTGTATGTAACTACCTACATCTGTAGTGAGCGCTGCTGTAGTGAGCGCTGATGTAGTGAGCGCTGATGTAGTGAGCGCTGATGTAGTGAGCGCTGATGTAGTGAGCGCTGATGTAGTGAGTCCTGCTGTAGTGAGCGCTGCTGTAGTGAGCGCTGCTGTAGTGAGTCCTGCTGTAGTGAGTGCTGCTGTAGTGAGCGCCGCTGTAGTGAGCGCTGCTGTAGTGAGTGCTGCTGTAGTGAGCCCTGCTGTAGTGAGTCCTGCTGTAGTGAGTCCTGCTGTAGTGAGCGCTGCTGTAGTGAGCGCTGCTGTAGTGAGCGCTGCTGTAGTGAGCGCTGCTGTAGTGAGCGCTGCTGTAGTGAGCGCTGCTGTAGTGAGTCCTGCTGTAGTGAGCGCTGCTTAACACATGCTCAGGTCCCGGTAGTCTGGACCACAACCACAACCGTCTCTCCCCCAGACCCAGTCTCAGCCTCAGCCCCAGCCTCAGACCCAGACCCAGACCCAGCCCCAGCTCACCTCAGTGCTCATGGGCCCCAGCTTGTGGCCAAACGTATCCGGCTGTTCAGAGTGCATGGCATACACATATGGCCTGAAACAAAACAGGTGGAAGGGAAGCTTAGATTGGCCTTGTGTACTAGACTGCCCCCAGGTCTCAACACAGGGCTAGGATATGGGAGCAAAGTCACAACTTACTTACTTACTTACAAAGTCAGATGGAGATTGCTAAGCATAGAACGGATATATTGCATTCATGTAAAGAATGGGATTTACTGCTGATATATCACTGCAGATGGCAACAGCCTAAAGAAGAGAATCAAATAAGCTGATTTACCTCTCTCCGTCTGGCAGGTGAAGCCATTGCAGCATGGTCAGGACTCTCCTCTCCAACTGGATGGAACTGGGAAGACACATCAGCTGAGGTCATTATGTGGAGGACAAAATGTAATTCACTAACAATGTCTGGGGTGCTGTGTATCAATGATTTACTGTGTCTGGGGTGCTGTGTATCAATGATTTACTGTTTTCTGGGGTGCTGTGTATCAATGATTTACTGTTTTCTGGGGTGCTGTGTATCAATGATTTACTGTGTCTGGGGTGCTGTGTATCAATGATTTACTGTGTCTGGGGTGCTGTGTATCAATGATTTACTGTGTCTGGGGTGCTGTGTATCAATGATTTACTGTGTCTGGGGTGCTGCGTATCAATGATTTACTGTGTCTGGGGTGCTGTGTATCAATGATTTACTGTTTTCTGGGGTGCTGTGTATCAATGATGTACTGTGTCTGGGATGCTGTGTATCAATGATTTACTGTTTTCTGGGGTGCTGTGTATCAATGCTTTACTGTGTCTGGGGTGCTGTGTATCAATGATTGACTGTTTTCTGGGGTGCTGTGTATCAATGATTTACTGTGTCTGGGATGCTGTGTATCAATGATTGACTGTTTTCTGGGGTGCTGTGTATCAATGATTTACTGTGTCTGGGGTGCTGTGTATCAATGATTTACTGTGTCTGGAGTGCTGTGTATCAATGATTTACTGTGTCTGGGGTGCTGTGTATCAATGATTTACTGTGTCTGGGATGCTGTGTATCAATGATTTACTGTTTTCTGGGGTGCTGTGTATCAATGATTTACTGTGTCTGGGGTGCTGTGTATCAATGATTTACTGTGTCTGGAGTGCTGTGTATCAATGATTTACTGTGTCTGGGGTGCTGTGTATCAATGATTTACTGTGTCTGGGGTGCTGTGTATCAATGCTTTACTGTGTCTGGGGTGCTGTGTATCAATGCTTTACTGTGTCTGGGGTGCCGTGTATCAATGATTTACTGTGTCTGGGGTGCTGTGTATCAATGCTTTACTGTGTCTGGGGTGCTGCGTATCAATGCATTACTGTGTCTGGGGTGCTGCGTATCAATGCATTACTGTGTCTGGGGTGCTGCGTATCAATGCATTACTGTGTCTGGGGTGCTGTGTATCAATGCTTTACTGTGTCTGGGGTGCTGTGTATCAATGCTTTACTGTGTATGGGGTGCTGCGTATCAATGCATTACTGTGTCTGGGGTGCTGTGTATCAATGATTTACTGTGTCTGGGGTGCTGTGTATCAATGATTTACTGTGTCTGGGGTGCTGTGTATCAATGATTTACTGTGTCTGGGGTGCTGTGTATCAATGCTTTACTGTGTCTGGGGTGCTGTGTATCAATGCTTTACTGTGTCTGGGGTGCTGCGTATCAATGCATTACTGTGTCTGGGGTGCTGCGTATCAATGATTTACTGTGTCTGGGGTGCTGTGTATCAATGCTTTACTGTGTCTGGGGTGCTGCGTATCAATGCTTTACTGTGTCTGGGGTGCTGCGTATCAATGCATTACTGTGTCTGGGGTGCTGCGTATCAATGCATTACTGTGTCTGGGGTGCTGCGTATCAATGCATTACTGTGTCTGGGGTGCTGCGTATCAATGCTTTACTGTGTCTGGGGTGCTGTGTATCAATGCTTTACTGTGTCTGGGGTGCTGTGTATCAATGATTTACTGTGTCTGGGGTGCTGTGTATCAATGATTTACTGTGTCTGGGGTGCTGTGTATCAATGATTTACTGTGTCTGGGGTGCTGTGTATCAATGATTTACTGTGTCTGGGGTGCTGTGTATCAATGCTTTACTGTGTCTGGGGTGCTGTGTATCAATGCTTTACTGTGTCTGGGGTGCTGTGTATCAATGCTTTACTGTGTCTGGGGTGCTGCGTATCAATGATTTACTGTGTCTGGGGTGCTGTGTATCAATGATTTACTGTGTCTGGGGTGCTGTGTATCAATGATTTACTGTGTCTGGGGTGCTGTGTATCAATGATTTACTGTGTCTGGGGTGCTGCGTATCAATGATTTACTGTGTCTGGGATGCTGCGTATCAATGCTTTACTGTGTCTGGGGTGCTGCGTATCAATGCATTACTGTGTCTGGGGTGCTGTGTATCAATGATTTACTGTGTCTGGGGTGCTGTGTATCAATGATTTACTGTGTCTGGGGTGCTGCGTATCAATGCTTTACTGTGTCTGGGGTGCTGTGTATCAATGCTTTACTGTGTCTGGGGTGCTGCGTATCAATGATTTACTGTGTCTGGGGTGCTGCGTATCAATGCTTTACTGTGTATTACAACACCTCATTTGATCCTCTCTGTTTGCATCCAGGAAAGCTGCCAGATTAGAACCATTAAATACATTATAATCGGCCTATAAAGTCGGGAGGATACAACACTCTCCTTCCCCCCTGTAAGCCTTTGAACCGCAAAGCCTCCCCTCCTGTTCTTGTCCTGTAGAGCGGTGGGCCACCTACAGATCTCCATCCTCCAGCCCACCAGGCACAGCTGCCAACCATCAACCCCGTGGTTTGCCTCTCTAACTGGGGCTTGTGGGGGAGCTGGGGGGTGCCTGGGGGTATGGAAGGAGGTAGACCTTATCCCACTAACTTCTCTTCTTCTCGACCCCTCTGGTGTTGGTTAAGACCTCCCTGGAGTTGGTCTTAACAGAGACCTCCACAAAGCTACAATCACAACTCCCCGTCACCTCCTCTCCTCCAGACCTCAATGGTTAAATAATACAGTCTTATACTGTACTGTAAAGTTAACAACCCCCCCCCCTCCTCCTCCTCCTCCTCCTCCTCCTCCTCCTCCTCCTCCTCCTCTGTGCCCTGGGCCTACCACAGGAAGTGCACCTTGAAATGCACTTTGGTACTGCTATGTTTTGAAGGAGTCCCCCAGCTGGCCAAGTTCACAGGCAGGCACCCCACTTTATGTTAATAGGCCAATGTGAGTAAATTGCTAAGCAAAACAGTTAGGGCTCTATGCCTCCGAACTGAAGTCTGTCTCAAAGGCCTCTGTGTCTTTATGAATGTGTGAGGCATTGTTGTTTTTTTAGCTGCCTGCATGCGTTGGGTTAGCCAGAGTACAACTAAACATGAACATGCCCATATAGTTTCCAGCCACCTGAAATCCACCACGGTGTTATGACAATATAATAGCAGCAGTTTCTGTTGTTGTTTTGTCTTGAGAGTGGTGCTGAGCGACTAGTGCTTTTCTAGGTCGATTCCGGTTTGATAAAAAAAATATATATATTCTACGATTTCGTTTTCGATACAAATAAATATATAAGAAAATGCATTATGAAATAATGACATTACAATTATTTTTTTGCTTTTTAATGGAAATTCCCAAGCCAAAAATGGTAAACATTCAATTGCCAAAACTTTGAAATATTCAAATTGTTTCTGTCAGGTCCACATTGGGTAGACGTCAATAAAAAAAAAAGGAAATTACTATGAAAAAATACAATATTCGTATATTACTTAGTATTTTACATTCCTTAAAGTCATCATCTCATCTCTGCTCAGGCAGTAGCGGCCAAACAGACAGACCATCTAATGTTATCTCTATCCCGCTTGTTCTCTTTGTGCTGTGTACATTCCTCTCTCATGCGGTCTGTGGGTATCTTACCTAATGTAGCAGGGGTAAAAGTGTATCCATCTCTGCCTGACCCCGGGAAAAAACAGGCGCAATGGATTATGGTCAATGTAGTTAATTACCACGTTTCTGCGCTGAACTAGGTTGAATATTTGCTCAATGAAAACTACAACTCCCTTCTACCCAGCGTCCCACATAGCTCTTGACTTGATTTCTCCCATGAATGATTTTGATTTATTTATTTTTTTGATTTTTGATTTAACCTTTATTTAACTAGGCAAGTCAGTTAAGAACAAATTCTTATTTACAATGACGGCCTACACCGGCCAAACCCGGACGACGCTTGGCCAATTGTGCGCCGCCCTGTGGGACTCCCAATCACGGCCGGTTGTGATACAGCGGGTCTGTACTGAGATGCAGTGCCTTAGACCGCTGAGATGCAGTGCCTTAGACCGCTGAGATGCAGTGCCTTAAGACCACTGAGATGCAGTGCCTTAGACCGCTGAGACGCAGTGCCTTAGACCGCTGAGACGCAGTGCCTTAGACCGCTGAGATGCAGTGCCTTAGACCACTGAGATACAGCGCCTTAGACCACTGAGATGCAGCGCCTTAGACCGCTGAGATGCAGCGCCTTAGACCGCTGAGATGCAGTGCCTTAGACCGCTGAGATGCAGTGCCTTAGACCGCTGAGATGCAGCGCCTTAGACCACTGAGATGCAGCGCCTTAGACCACTGAGATGCAGCGCCTTAGACCGCTGAGATGCAGTGCCTTAGACCGCTGAGATGCAGTGCCTTAGACCACTGAGATGCAGTGCCTTAGACCACTGAGATGCAGTGCCTTAGACCACTGAGATGCAGTGCCTTAGAACACTGAGATGCAGTGCCTTAGACCGCTGAGATGCAGTGCCTTAGACCGCTGAGATGCAGCGCCTTAGACCGCTGAGATGCAGCGCCTTAGACCACTGAGATGCAGCACCTTAGACCGCTGAGATGCAGCGCCTTAGACCGCTGAGATGCAGCGCCTTAGACCGCTGAGATGCAGCGCCTTAGACCACTGAGATGCAGTGCCTTAGACCGCTGAGATGCAGTGCCTTAGACCGCTGAGATGCAGTGCCTTAGACCGCTGCGCCACTCTGGAGCTCTAGAGAAACGGTGTGTTGGGCTCGCAAAAAAAACTAAACTAAATGGAATATAAGAAATTGTACCGACGTTGATCAATTAGTTGTTTAATAACCTAAAAAATTTACGAAATGTCAGTTAATCACTCAGCACTACTTCAGAGTTCTGAGGAGAATATTGACAGGCTATGAGCTGTGAGGTGATAAAGCACGTGGGACATATTATCTTTGCATTGAGAAGGGGGGAATATGATACAAATGGCCTTGAACAGACATTTTTCAGATGTGGTTTAGAGAGAGAGAGAAGGGGAGAGAGAGAGAGGTAGACAGAGAGAGAGAGGGGGGGGTTGGAGGGAGGGGGGGGTGTGTATGGAGTATGAGCGAGAGAGAGGGTGGGTTGAGAGTAACCAGAGAGAGCAGAGGAGGAGAGTGATGGAGAGAGGGCATGATGAGATGGAGGAGAGAGCGAGAGAGAGAGATTGGAAATTGGAAACTAATTAACAAAACAACACTAAGCAAACTAGAATGCTATTAGGCCCTAAACAGAGAGTACACACAGTGGCAGACTACCTGAACCACTGTGGACTGACCCAAATTAAGGAAAAGCTTGACTATGTTACAGGCACTCAGTGAGGCATAGCCTTGCTTATTGAGAAAGGCCGCCGTAGGCAAGTACCTGGCCTCTCAAGAGAAGACCAGGCTATGTGCCACACTGCCCACAAACTGAGGTGGAAAACTGAGCTGCACTTCCTAACCCTCTGCCAAATGTATGACCATATTAAGAGACACATATTTCCCTCAGATTAGACAGACCCACAAATAATTTGAAAACAAATCCAATTTTGATAAACTCCCATTTCTACTGGGTGAAATACCACAGTGTGCAATCACAGCAACAAGATTTGTGACCTGATGCCACAAGAAAAGGGCAACCAGTGAAGAACAAACACCATTGTAAATAGAACCCATATTTATGTTTATTTATTTTACTTGAACTCTTTTGCACATTGTTACAACACTGTATATAGACATAATATGAAATTTTAAATGTATTTATTATTTTGGAACTTGTGTGAGTGTAATATTTACTGTTCAATTTTTATTGTCTATTTCACTTTTCTTTATCCATTTCACTTGCTTTGGCAATATAAACATATGTTTCCCATGCCAATAAAGCCCCTTGAATTGAATTGAATTGAGGGAGAGAGCGAGAGAGAGAGACTTACACAGGCCAGAAGAAAGTGCCAGCCTTCACCCCCTGCTTCACTGCTGTAATCCAGATCTAGAACAAGAATAAAAGTGAATATAACCACTGTAAATTATTATTAAACTGTGATATAAGACAATATAATTTGTAGTGTAATGGCATATAACACTTTTTGGGAAAATGTGTTCGTTTTTCGTCAACAAAGGTCCTTCAAAAGCATTTGTGACCTTAAACCACTACATTACACTTGCAAGGCTGACACCATTTTCAAACCAATGTCTCAACTTGAAATGGACAGTTATTAAATTGAAACACTACTCACTAGTTTTATAACATTCATGCTCAAAGCCAAGTTAAACAGTCTCATATGAAAGGAGAGAGAGAGAGACAAACCTGGCCAGCTGTAAGGCCATTACTGTGCAAATAGAACACAGATGCAGGCCTTCTAGAATGGGAGGGAGGCCTTCTAGAATGGGAGGGAGGCCTTCTAGAATGGGAGGGAGGCCTTCTAGAATGGGAGGGAGGCCTTCTAGAATGGGAGGGAGGCCTTCTAGAATGGGAGGGCGGCCTTCTAGAATGGGAGGGAGGGCTTCTAGAATGGGAGGGAGGGCTTCTAGAATGGGAGGGAGGGCTTCTAGAATGGGAGGGAGGGCTTCTAGAATGGGAGGGAGGGCTTCTACTTCTAGAATGGGAGGGAGGGCTTCTAGTATGGGAGGGAGGGCTTCTAGTATGGGAGGGAGGGCTTCTAGAATGGGAGGGAGGGCTTCTAGAATGGGAGGGAGGGCTTCTAGAATGGGAGGGAGGGCTTCTAGAATGGGGAGGGAGGGCTTCTAGAATGGGAGGGAGGGCTTCTAGAATGGGAGGGAGGGCTTCTAGTATGGGAGGGAGGGCTTCTAGAATGGGAGGGAGGGCTTCTAGAATGGGAGGGAGGGCTTCTAGAATGGGAGGGAGGGCTTCTAGAATGGGAGGGAGGGCTTCTAGAATGGGAGGGAGGGCTTCTAGAATGGGAGGGAGGGCTTCTAGAATGGGAGGGAGGGCTTCTAGAATGGGAGGGAGGGCTTCTAGAATGGGAGGGAGGGCTTCTAGAATGGGAGGGAGGGCTTCTAGTATGGGAGGGAGGGCTTCTAGAATGGGAGGGAGGGCTTCTAGAATGGGAGGGAGGGCTTCTAGAATGGGAGGGAGGGCTTCTAGAATGGGAGGGAGGGCTTCTAGTATGGGAGGGAGGGCTTCTAGAATGGGAGGGCATCTAGAGTGACTTACATTGCCTTTAGAAGGTATTCATACCCCTTGACTTATTCCACATTTTGTTGTGTTATAGCCTGAATTCTTTTTTTTTTTTTGGTAATCAATCTACACACAATATCCCATAATGACAAAGTGAAAACATGTTTTTAGACATTTTATCAAATGTATTGAAAATGAAATACAGAAAGTATTCATACCCCTGAGTCAATACATGTTAGGCAGCGATTACAGCTGTGTTTCTTTCTGGGTAAGTCTCTAAGAGCTTTGCACACCTGGATTGTACAATATTTGCACTTTTTTTTTTTTTTTTTTATACTTCAAGCTCTGTCAAGTTGGTTGTTGATCATTGCTAGACAGCCATTTTCTTGTCAAGTCTTGCCATAGATTTTCAAGCCGATTTAAGTCGAAACGGTAACTAGGCCACTCAGGAACATTCAATGTCATCTTGGTGAGCAACTCCAGTGTATATTTTGCCTTGTGTTTTAGGTTATTGTCCTGCTGAAAGGTGAATTTGACACCCAGTGTCTGTTAGAAAGCAGACTGAACCATGTTTTCCTCTAGGATTTTTGCCTGTGCTTAGCTGTATTCTGTTTATTTGATCCTAAATAACTCCCTAGTCCTTGCCGATGACAAGCACACCCATAACATGATGCAGCCACCACCATGCTTGAACATATGGAGATTGGTACTCAGTAATGTTTTGTACTGAATTTGCCCCAAACATAAAGCTTTGTATTCAGGATATGAAGTTCATTTCTTTACCACATGTTTTGCAGTTTTACTTTAGTGCCTCATTGCAAACAGGATACATGTTTTGGAATATTTTTTATTATGTACAGGCTTCCTTCTTTTCACTCTGTTATTTAGGTTAGTTTTGTGGAGTAACTACAATGTTGTTGAGCCGTCCTCAGTTTTCTCCTATCACAGCCATTAAACTCTCTAACTGTTTTAAAGTCACCATTGGCCTCATGGTGAAATCCCTGAGCGGTTTCCTTCCGCTCCGGCAACTGAGTTGGGAAGGACGCCTGTATCTTTGTGGTGACTGGGTGTGTTGATACACCATCCAAAGTGTAATTAATAACTTCACCATGCTCAAAGGGATATTTAATGTCTGTTTGCTTATTTTTTTTTTTTTACCCATCTACCAATAGGTGCCCTTCTTTGTGAGGCATTGGAAAACCTCCCTGGTCTTTGTGGTTGAATCTGTGTTTAAAAGTCACTGCTCGACTGAGGGACCTTACAGATAATTGTATGTGTGGGTTACAGAGATGAGGGAGTCATTCAAAAATCATGTTAAACATTATTATTGCACAAAGAGTAAGTCCATGCAACTTATTATGTGACTTGTTAAGCACATTTTTACTCCTGAACTTATTTAGTTTAGTTGAATATTTGATTACTTATTGACAGCTTTTCATTTTTTATTAATTTGTAAACATTTCTAAAAACATAATTCCACTTTGACATTATGGGGTATTGTGTGTAGGTCAGTGACACAAAATCTCAATTGAATCCATTTTAAATTCAGGCTGTAACACAACAAAATGTGTAACAAGTCAAGGGGTGTGAATACTTTCTGAAGGCACTGTATGTCTCAACCACAGAACAGAACAGAGAGAGTAGGACTCACCGGCTGACCTCCCCACCAACGATGATTCAGCTTCTCTCGACCCCGCAGGTTAAAGTTGGCATCAAACACGGGGTCATGCATGGAGTTGCCAACTATGCCATGGGACTCAGGGTACAGGCCCTACAGAAGGTCAGAGCTGAGGCGTTAACCCTTCTGGGGTGGATGTTACATTACATAACGGCAAAATTGAAGCTAAAATGTTCAGTTGAGTTCAGCGAGGAAGACGGGCCAAGAAAAAGGATGATTGACCAGTACATACCGTTGCAAGAGTGTACAGATTGGGGAACGTTTTAGTGGGGTACATCGGTCTCATGTAAGGAGCATGGGTACCACATGCTCCTAGAGGTAAAAAGGCACAAAACAGATACGATGCAATGGAAACAATTTTGACACAAATTTGAATGCAGTAAGTAGACCCAGTCAAATGTGTATTCAAGCCCTGTTATGGATGATTCAGAATGTCTTACTGAGTTTCTCGATGTTGGGGATCACTGTGCTTCCCCTCTTCATGTAGGAGGCTCTGAAACCATCCACTGACACCATGATGAGAGGGGGACGGACAAACCTGGGGAGAAAAGTCCATTAGACTATCTCCAAGGTTCTCACGTTTTGTGAATCGCGGTGAAATAGTTGTGAAAGGTAAAAAAGGTATCTTACCCAGCAGGACATTCATGGGTTCTAATGTCTTCACACTCATCCTGCAACCAAGTAGTGTCCCCTTCCAAAGAAAGTGGTCCAATTTAGAGTTAATGTGAGGGTTCAATAAACCTTCCACTACCACTGTGTAGTATACAGCCAGATATGTACAGTGGGGAAAAAAAGTATTTAGTCAGCCACCAATTGTGCAAGTTCTCCCACTTAAAAATATGAGAGAGGCCTGTAATTTTCATCATAGGTACACGTCAACTATGACAGACAAATTGAGAGAAAGAAAATCCAGAAAATCACATTGTAGGATTTTTAATGAATTTATTTGCAAATTATGGTGGAAAATAAGTATTTGGTCACCTACAAACAAGCAAGATTTCTGGCTCTCACAGACCTGTAACTTCTTCTTTAAGAGGCTCCTCTGTCCTCCACTCGTTACCTGTATTAATGGCACCTGTTTGAACTTGTTATCAGTATAAAAAGACACCTGTCCACAACCTCAAACAGTCACACTACAAACTCCACTATGGCCAAGACCAAAGAGCTGTCAAAGGACACCAGAAACAAAAGTGTAGACCTGCACCAGGCTGGGAAGACTGAATCTGCAATAGGTAAGCAACTTGGTTTGAAGAAATCAACTGTGGGAGCAATTATTAGGAAATGGAAGACATACAAGACCACTGATAATCTCCCTCGATCTGGGGCTCCACGCAAGATCTCACCCCGTGGGGTCAAAATGATCACAAGAACGGTGAGCAAAAATCCCAGAACCACACGGGGGGACCTAGTGAATGACCTGCAGAGAGCTGGGACCAAAGTAACAAAGACTACCATCAGTAACACACTACGCCGCCAGGGACTCAAATCCTGCAGTGCCAGACGTGTCCCCCTGCTTAAGCCAGTACATGTCCAGGCCCGTCTGAAGTTTGCTAGAGTGCATTTGGATGATCCAGAAGAGGATTGGGAGAATGTCATATGGTCAGATGAAACCAAAATATAACTTTTTGGTAAAAACTCAACTCGTCGGGTTTGGAGGACAAAGAATGCTGAGTTGGATCCAAAGAACACCATACCTACTGTGAAGCATGGGGGTGGAAACATCATGCTTTGGGGCTGTTTTTCTGCAAAGGAATCAGGACGACTGATCCGTGTAAAGGAAAGAATGAATGGGGCCATGTATCGTGAGATTTTGAGTGAAAACCTCCTTCCATCAGCAAGGGCATTGAAGATGAAACGTGGCTGGGTCTTTCAGCATGACAATGATCCCAAACACACCGCCCGGGCAACGAATGAGTGGCTTCGCGTAAGAAGCATTTCAATGTCCTGGAGTGGCCTAGCCAGTCTCCAGGTCTCAACACCATAGAAAATCTTTGGAGGGAGTTGAAAGTCTGTGTTGCCCAGCGACAGCCCCAAAACATCACTGCTCTAGAGGAGATCTGCATGGAGGAATGGGCCAACATACCAGCAACAGTGTGTGAAAACCTTGTGAAGACTTACAGAAAACATTTGACCTGTGTCATTGCCAACAAAGGGTATATAACAAAGTATTGAGAAACTTTTGTTATTGACCAAATACTTATTTTCCACCATAATTTGCAAATAAATTCATTAAAAATCCTACAATGTGATTGTCTGGATTTTTTTTTCTCATTTTGTCTGTCATAGTTGACGTGTACCTATGATGAAAATTACAGGCCTTTCTCAACTTTTTAAGTGGGAGAACTTGCACAATTGGTGGCTGACTAAATACTTTTTTTTCCCCCACTGTGTGTTATGACAACAACAGTCAGAAGGGGTTGGCTAAAGCACACACAGAATCAGCTTGAGAGACATCTAGTATCACGGTCTAACCTTTACAGAGTGCTTTGTAGTTGGTGCAGCAGTCTCCTTTGGCCAGACAGTCCTCAGAACAGTGACAGGCATGCTGGTCATTCCTGCTCTCACCACAGCGCTCCTTACTGCAGTCAAAACCGCCCTCTGGACACAATCAATCAATCAATCAATCAATTAATGAGAGAGGATGTTACATAGCTAATAACGACCCATTAAAACTGCATCAGGGTGTCCCATTCAGCAATGAGTCAAGTTACCATAAGGTCATATACATGAGGTAGAAACTGACAGAGATGGTGATGGTGATTAAGTATGTAGTAAAGTGTGTGTTCATTTTGAACCCTACATTAGATGCAATACAACATACTGAACATTCTGGAACATGTTCAACTTGGACTGAGAGAGGGGTTGAATTTGTTGAGGGAACATGAAAGGGAGCAGGGGACCACCAACCCAGACAGACAGGCAGGCAGGCTTCAGGCTTACCTGTTCTCAAGCAGTGCTCATCAAAATCTTGGCAGCAGCTGTTATAAGTTTTACATAAGTTGTCACAGCGGCAGTTGGGAGGTTCAGCCTCGTCCAATTCAAAGCATCTGTTCTTGCAGGATCCTGACGTGCTGATCCACGGGGAGTCTGAGGGAGCTGGCAGGGAGAGAGAGAGAGACAACCGCTAACATCTACTGAGGGAGCTGGCAGGTAGAGAGAGACAACCGCTAACATCTACTGAGGGAGCTGGCAGGGAGAGAGAGAGAGACAACCGCTAACATCTACTGAGGGAGCTGGCAGGGAGAGAGAGACAACTGTTAATATCTACTGGAGGTATACTGCGAGAAAAAAAGGGGTTCTCAAAGGGTTCCGTAGGACCCTTCATGGTTCTACTTCTAGGTTGCACCTTTTTCCTGAGAGTGTATTGCAATAGTAGCTTGGAATACACTCTGAATCCATGCTCTGTTTCACTATTGAAAAGGGAGCATGGATTCAGTCACTATGGATCCGAAGCTGCTACTAAGACAGTTGCATTTGGGTTAAAAAAAACATCTCTACTACCCAACACTTCCTTGAGGTTGAGGAGAGGAACACTTCCCTGAGGTTGGGGAGAGGAACTCTTCCCTGAGGTTGGGGAGAGGAACACTTCCCTGAGGTTGGGGAGAGGGACTCTTCCCTGAGGTTGGGGAGAGGAACACCTCCCTGAGGTTGGGGAGAGGAACACCTCCCTGAGGTTGGGGAGAGGAACACTTCCCTGAGGTTGGGGAGAGGAACACTTCCCTGAGGTTGGGGAGAGGAACACTTCCCTGAGGTTGGGGAGAGGGACTCTTCCCTGAGGTTGGGGAGAGGGACTCTTCCCTGAGGTTGGGGAGAGGAACACTCCTGAGGTTGGGGGGAGAGAAACCTCCCTGCGTTGGGGAGAGGAACACTTCCCGGAGGTTGGGGAGAGGAAACAATGCCATGAGGTTGGGGAGAGGGGAACACCTCACTGAGGTTGGGGAGAGGAAACACTTCCCTGGAGTTGGGGGAGAAGGAAACACTTCCCTTGAGTTGGGGAGAGGACAACATTCCTGAGGTTGGGGAGAGGAACACCTCCCTGAGGTGGGGGGAGAGCGAAACATTCCCTGAGGTTGGGGAGAGGAACACTTCCCTGAGGTTGGGGAGAGGAACACTTCCCTGAGGTTGGGGAGAGGAACACTTCCCTGAGGTTGGGGAGAGGAACACTTCCCTAAGGGTGGGGAGAGGTACACTTCCCTGAGGTTGGGGAGAGGGAGTCTTCCCTGAGGTTGGGGAGAGGCACTCTTCCCTGAGGTTGGGGAGAGGAACTCTTCCCTGAGGTTGCGAAGAGGAACAGAGGGGACCAAGCCTGTGTAACATACAGTACATAACAAGATGTTCCTTGTGCATTCAGGAAAAAACCTCCAGCAGGAAAACCTGGGCAACGCCAGGAGAAGCATGTGGAAGAATTCTGTGAAGTTTCAAACTCAGTTTACTGCACAGGAGTTAAGGCATATAATAAATACTTTACTTGATGTCAAACCCATTCCAGACACAGTGAATGAACTGAATAAAAGGAAACAAACTACCTGTGAAAGAAAGATTACAATTTCCTTTCACAGCTGTGCAGTGGTATATTCAAACCTCTGCGTTTTTACCGGGTCAGAAAATGTGGAGCAGAAACAGCTGAAAAGCTCTGTTGATATTGACACAAGGTAGAGCTGAGCAAACAAACCCCAAATATACACGAACAGGCCGATCACTAGTGAAAAGGACAGCAGCAGTAATCGTTTGTTACATTTAAATGCTTTTGCTTATTAGTTTTGTGTGCACAGGCAGACACATCTGATAGAAAATAATCTGCAAATAAACGGAATTTTGAATTCCAATCGCTACAGTTACCTAAGGGAACAAAGTAAGTAAGTTCCATATAATGCATGTTACTCATGTTTAAAGCAATGATCATTTAGATGGTAAATGGATTCCATGTCAGTCAACAGATTGTTGAATGATTGATTGCTTTGCCCCTAAGTCAGTTTAAGATTTAGTTTAATACCTCTGGAATCAAAGACAGTTTTTTGTCTGACTTGTTTAAAATGGCAAAAGGAAAGTTGGCTTTATATACATTTACAGCCAAAATACATAAAGGCGTTTCCAAAATATACTGTAAAGCTTATTTTGGGAACTAAATTACAGAGAAAATGATTCTGCTGTGCTTGCAGTATCCCATGCATAATGTTAGTGCAGAACAACTTGTCCCAATACGTCATTATAAAAATAAAAAATAAATGAACAATGCACTCACTGTAATAAACTACAATAATACCCATCAACTATTGTCCAAGAGTGAGAGAGAGATGGTAGTCCCCAAAAAGATATATTTTTTATGCAAAATAGTTGTCCAATCTTACTTACTGTCTGTCCTTGATGAAGCAGCCTCCTCTACAGACCTTTTAGGACGGTCATGAACATATCCCGAGCAGATATCCGAACCACAGACGATGGAGAGGACACAGAAAATCTTAGGAAATGAATGAAACAACAGATAAATGATACAATTCTACAAAAGTACAAAATTAAACGCGAAAGATATGAGGCGATGACGACAGTCTCCCACAATAAATATAACGGAGCATGCCAGAACAATCCATCATTACCCATTGAACATCCTACATTGTAATATCACAGAGTTTCTAAACCATCTTTGGTAATATCGATCATACCTGTTTAAATGATACATTATATTTCCCCATTATGTCAGGTCCGTCCTACAGAATGCATGTGTTTATCTCAGTAGTCCCTATTCGGTCCGTGACTGTGCGTCCCGACTGCAACCCGACTATCACCAAGACTGCGCGCAGAGCGGTGTGGTGGGCAAGTTTTGTGATTTCAGATTAACACCTGTTCACCGTGCAAAGGGAGCTTCCTTCCAGCTCTCAATCCAATAAATCAAGTAAATGTGCGTATGCTGCTGTTTGATTTTACTGCGCGGTAGGCTACGGCAGCCTACTAATTAATGAATGCAAGTGGAGACCACCCCGGTGAATGCATAACAATCCCCTTTGATACTTTTCAAATGGGTCGCCACTTTGAAATGATCATCATCCCCTTGTACTGCAAATGACAATGTTAATGATTTTAGAAAACAAAAAAGGATAGTAAACCTCCTTGCTGAGAGCCCTGAAAACGTCTGAGAACCAGTAATAAACGCATAATAGCCATGGTAGCCTATTCGCAAAACATAAGTTCTCATTGTAAACGAACAGGGACACATGCAGACGCACACAACGCATTTGCATGAATCTTGAAAACCTTGCACGAGCTGTCTTACTGGACCAGTTTCCAAAAGACACATGATCCTCTGCCGAGTGCTGCCTGCACCTAGTCCGCTCGACTGGAGTGAGTTAAACCCTAACTAACCCGGGAGTGTGTTAAACCCTAACTAACCCCGGGTTTGGAGTTGACCCTAACTTACCCCGGAGTGAGTTTGTACCCTAACTAACCCCGTAGTGAGTGTACCCTAACTAACCCCGAGTTGAGTTGGTAACCCTAACTAACCCCGGAGTGAGTTGTACCCTAACAACCCCGGCGTGAGTTGTACCCTAACTAACCCCGGAGTGAGTTTTACCCTAACTAACCCCGGAGTGAGTTGTACCCTAATAACCCCGGAGTGAGTTGTACCCTAACTAACCCCGGAGTGAGTTGTACCCTAACTAACCCCGGAGTGAGTTTTACCCTAACTAACCCTGGAGTGAGTTTTACCCTAACTAACCCCGGAGTGAGTTGTACCCTAACTAACCCCGGAGTGAGTTTTACCCTAACTAACCCGGGAGTGAGTTGTACCCTAACTAACCTGGAGTAGTTAAACCCTAACTAACCCTGGAGTGAGTTGTACCCTAACTAACCCCGGAGTGAGTTAAACCCTAACTAATCCTGGTGCTTTCTGACTCCCGGGCAGACCACACAGGGTTTAGCAGAGTCAGTGGAGGACAGGAGTGCCATTGGTTTGTTGCCAATGCAGATATTTGTTTTGCCATCCAGGGTTTGATGAGGGATACAATCATAAAATATAAATATATTGTTGCAGATATGGGAACATTCCATACAGTAGACTATGCTCAATCTGGCAAGAATATGATTACTGAGTTCAAATGGAAATGGTGCAAACATGACAAGAAACTCACCAATAGGGACATGTTTTAAACAGTTTAGAATTACCATTTGTTGCTGCTTAAATGCATAATTCCCCCAAAAAACACCCCATCAATGTGGTCCAAATTCAACAGTGAGGAGGGCCAGGCCAGGTCACAGTGAGGAGATTAGGTCAAGAACCAGAGCACTGAAAGTTGTTACTGGGCTGGAGGTGAGGAAGTTGTTACTGGGCTGGAGGTGAAGTTGTTTCTGCCGGCAATGAGGAAGTTGTTTCTTGTGAGGTTGTCCTGGCAGTGAGGAAGTGTCACTGGCTGGTGGGAAGTTGTCCTGGCGGCAGTGAGGAAGTTGTCACTGGCTGTTAATTGCCGGCAGTGAGGAAGTTGTCACTGGGCTGGAGGTGAGGAAGTTGTCACTGCACCGGCATGAGGAAGTTGTTACTGCCGGCAATGAGGCAGTTGTTACTGCCGGCAATGAGGAAGTTGTTACTGCCGGCAATGAGGAAGTTGTTACTGCCGGAAATGAGGAAGTTGTTACTGCCGGAATGAGGAAGTTGTTACTGCCGGCATGAGATTGTACTGCGGCAATGAGCAGTTGTTACTGCCGGCAATGAGGAAGTTGTAAGGGTAACTCCTCTTGTTTTTGGTGGGCAATGATTGAAAGTTTATGCCTTGGTTATTACATCTTGTATACAATTAAACATTCAAGCTTTGTATTATTTGAGGTATGAAAATTTCAACGAATAACTTCAGAGCTTTTTTCACTTTTATAATGTAGTCCTATCCTACAAAAAACAAAATGTTCTAACAAAACTGCAGTACATAATGAATATATAGAACAGTTACTGATTGGGTCAGGGACAAGGAGACCACAAGCTAGTCACTGATTGGGTCAGGGACAAGGAGGCCACAATCTAACTACTTAACAATAAAAACATGAACAGTTAAAACATGCATGGTTAGAAACAGGTATAGAAAAACCCAATGACTCTTCAGTATGGTCATGTCATACAGGCCAGCAATGAGGGTATTAGTCATGGCTGCATCCAAAACTGCACCCTATTCCCAATAAAGTGCACTACTTTTTGACCAGGGCCGTATGGGACCTGGTGAAAAGTAGTGCACTATGAAAGGAATAGGGTACTGTTCAGAACGCAGACAGCCATGGTCTACCGCAGGTCAGCCTAATTAGACAGCTTACACTTTACATCCTAAATGTTTATCATTCTTGATTCTTCCACCTTTGAATTGATTGGCTCTCTGAATAAGAGTGGAATTTCCCCTCTTAGTTTAATAGCAGGGTTAATTACAGTAAACCTGTAATTCAATGTCCAGGGTGACGTTATAAAACCTGGGGAAAGACTAGTGGCAGTCTGAGACCGGTTACGTCCTCAACAGGCTGAAGAGGTTCCCTTGTGAGCCCAGCCACTAACTGAACATGTTGTTGATGATGGTAGCAGACAGAAAGGCTCAGGCATAGCCAGAAGTGTGTGCGTGTGTGTGTGTGTGTGTGTGGTGATGGTGATGGGAGACTTTTAAAACTAAAGGGCTCCTTCTGGAGAGGCCCACAGGTCTGCCTCTCTGTGTGGTTAATGATGACGTCACAGAATGTAGGTTAGGCTACACACGTTTCCCCCCTCCACCTACACGGACTAGCCTTGAATCCACACTGAATATTGCTCCATTTTCCAAATCCAAACTAAATATAGCTCAGATTCAAACAGTGAAACAGAACAATATTTAGTGTGGATTCCAGGCTAGCCGACTGAAGTGCACTGACATGCAGTAAACCAGTAAGCTCTATTCAGAGGAGTTGGAACACTGACTGACAGCTGGAGTCTGTAGTCTTGAGGGTGATGTTTTACAGCTCAGTCTCTCTTGCGGGTGATACTGTGTTTCATAGCTCTGGACCAACCAGGAGGCAGCGCTGTGTTCTAGTCAGACATGGATGGAGACCTCATGGAGCGTCCACTAGCAGGGCCGTTACTGAAGAACCAACCAGGAGGCAGCGCTGTGTTCTAGTCAGACATGGATGGAGACCTCATGGAGCGTCCACTAGCAGGGCTGTTACTGAAGGCATGGGAGTCCCTCTCCTTGTCCTTGTCTTTACTGTCGTGCTTGTGCTTGTGCTTGTGTTTGTGCTTCTTCTTCTTCTTCTTCTTGTGCTCGTGGTGGTGGTGGTGGTGGTGGTCAGTGCTGTGTTTGGAGGAAGAAGTGGACTCTTTGCTGAAGGAAGGTAAGGGGGTGACAGGCAGGGAGAGGACAGCCTGGTCCACGACTGGAGGTTCCTTACCTGAGGAAGGGAGAGAGGAGACCGGAAGAGACAGATTTAAAATACTGAATGCAAATCATCTAGAAGTCTGTTATGTTCTTCAAAAATGAATCATTTCTTAGGATTGTCTGAAAGCATGAATCAACCCCAGGTGTGAACAAGTATGATAATTGCAGGACAATGATTGATGGGGTGCTGACCTGGTGTGGAAGGCCTCTCCAGGATGTTGAGGTGGTGGTGGATGAACGCCTGACTGTCATGGGGACTCTCCATGTCAATTTCATCCTCCTCCATGGTGTTGAACTGAAACAATCATTATCATCATCATCATCAGTCATAACCATCTGATCTGATCCTCTTCCATGGAGTTGAACTGAAACATCATCATCAGTCAACCATCTGATCTGATTCTCATGCATGGAGTTGAACTGAAACATCATCATCAGCCATAACCATCTGATCTGATCCTCCTCCATGGAGTTGAACTGAAACAACTTAATCATCATCATCAGTCAACCATCTGATCTCATCCTCCTCCATGGAGTTGAACTGAAACATCATCATCATCATCATCAGTCATAACCATCTGATCTGATCCTCCTCCATGGAGTTGAACTGAAACAACATCAGTCATAACCATCTGATCCTCCCCCATGGAGTTGAACTGAAACAATGTCATCAGCATTTACATTTTAGTCATTTAGCAGACACTCTTATCCAGAGCGACTTACAGTTAGTGAGTGCATACATTTTTCATACTGCATCAGTTATAACCATCTGATCTGATCCTCCTCCATGGAGTTGAACTGAATCATCATCATCAGTCATAACCATCTGATCTGATCCTCCTCCATGGAGTTGAACTGAAACATCATCCAACACCCTCACAAGATTGTTCAATCACAGTGATTCACGTTAACTCAAATACGATCAGCAATGTGATTGCACCAGTTAGATTGTGATTGCACCAGTTAGATTGTATCAGTTTAAAACAAAGAGCTAGATTAAGCCAGACACACTAGAGTCCATAGTGGCACTGCTTCAGTCCTCAGGGGAGCCTGAAATGGTTCACACACACATTATTGGTGAAAGCCTGTAGTGAAAGCCCAGACAAGTATAAGCGCATCCCCCCAGCCTCCCCACGGCGCTCCAGATCCTTACTCTGATCTTGAATTTTTTACTGCTGTCCTCTTCCTGCAGTACCTGGCCTGGCTCCGGTGGAGAGGAGCCCAGTGGTCCAACTCCACTGTCCAACTTTCTCTTCAGACCCTGAGGAAGTGGGGCGACACCACTGGACATAGACACGCTGGACACTGTCTCCATGGCGATCAGGCCCTCATCCAGCTATAGGGGGGAGGGGGAGGGAAGAGATGGAGGGGGGGGAAGATGGAGGGGAGAGAGGGGGAGTAAGGAGATGGAGGGGGATGAAGAGGAGGGGGAGGGAAGGATGGATTGGAAGAGGGGTAGGGAAGCTGGGGGATGAGTGGGTGGAGGGGAGAGAGAGAGGGCGGGGGTGGGGGAAGAGATGGATTTTTTTGAGAAGAGATGGGGGGGGAGGAGGGAGGGGCTTTATCTTGTCCCTTAGTTTACAAAGTTCAGATGAGGTTGACAAAAAGATTCTTAGTGAGGATTTACTAAGACACAAGAAGGCCCAAGTCCCAACTAAAATATATTATTATCAGCATCAGGGGGTCCTTACACTGCTAGTAAAGCCCATGACGGGGATGTGAACCCCCATGGTGTTGCCAGTTATCTCTGTGGTGCCTGGCCCCTGTTCAGGCTTGATGGTGGGGTTGAGGACGGCCTTCTTCTCCTTGAGGTTGAGTACCAGGCCCAGCTCGGGCAGGGGCAGGCAGGAGGGGCGCGTCAGACCAAACAGAGTGTAGTAAAGGTTCACCGCATCACACCGCAATCGCCAGTCATGAGACGTACCTGGGGGAACAGTGAAACGAGAGGGTCTAAACACATTCAACTTTACAGCTGGACAAAAGTCATGTTCAGATCATTGTAAAGTTTCACAATTGTTTTTTAAGCCAAGCCAGTGATAGTAATAACATTAGCATGAATGTAATCACTGATACTGTGTCAAGTTAAATCCATAAAAACTCAGAGGAAGGGGTTTAAGAATAGGGTCTTAGTTTGTCTTAGAAAAGCTTTGAGAAAACTAGAAATGCCATTGTGCATAAAGCTACAGTATCTTATTCAGTTTCCAGTCATAGTTCGTGTTATCATGTACATAACATCTGATAAAATAGAGATTAACTGATATTAACGGGTTTGAATTTAACATAATAGATCATTGCAAGACTTTCTCAATTGTTTTCCAAGCCAAGCCAGTGATAATAAGTGGCGTGAACGTAATCACTGATGTTATGTTGCATGAAATAATAAAATAACAACAGATTATGAACAGTTTATTACTGTGAGTCATAAACTGGGTTGGCAACGAGAGTGGCGTTACACTGCCAACAGTCACAGCCAATCTCAGAGCACAGAAGTACACTCAAACATATGAAATATTATGCTTACAATAAGAAACAGAACAAGTGTTCCGCCTCCTCACACCTACATCCCCCAGCAGTCCATTCAAATATAAACCTTGTTTCAAAAGGTGCCAATTCTTCCAAACGTTTTCCAAGTAACAGATTTCTGTTGGGGGCGCAGCTTACCACTCAAACTGGATTGATGCAACAACAACACATAACATGTCCATTGGCCACACTGTCTGTCTGTCTCAGACTCAACCCCCCCAGCTCTGTGTTTCCAGGTCACCCCTGACAGACTGTGTTTGAGCAGGTTAGCGTTCTCTGATGCTCTCTCAGCTGTGTTTGACCTCATTCTAAACTGTAGCCTGTGCCAGGAGGCACCCATGTCCCCAAGACATGGTCTGCATCCCAAAAGGCACCTGATTCCCTATATAGTGCAATACACAGAGGCCTGGTCATAAATAGTGCACTATACAGTGGGGGAAAAAAGTATTTAGTCAGCCACCAATTGTGCAAGTTCTCCCACTTAAAAAGATGAGAGAGGCCTGTAATTTTCTTCATAGGTACACGTCAACTATTACAGACAAATTGAGAAACAAAATCCAGAAAATCACATTGTAGGATTTTTAATGAATTTATTTGCAAATTATGGTGGAAAATAAGTATTTGGTCAATAACAAAAGTTTCTCAATACTTTGTTATATACCCTTTGTTGGCAATGACACAGGTCAAACGTTTTCTGTAAGTCTTCACAAGGTTTTCACACACTGTTGCTGGTATTTTGGCCCATTCCTCCATGCAGATCTCCTCTAGAGCAGTGATGTTTTGGGGCTGTCGCTGGGCAACACGGATTTTCAACTCCCTCCAAAGATTTTCTATGGGGTTGAGATCTGGAGACTGGCTAGGCCACTCCAGGACCTTGAAATGCTTCTTACGAAGCCACTCCTTCGTTGCCCGGGCGGTGTGTTTGGGATCATTGTCATGCTGAAAGACCCAGCCACGTTTCATCTTCAATGCCCTTGCTGATGGAAGGAGGTTTTCACTCAAAATCTCACGATACATGGCCCCATTCATTCTTTCCTTTACACGGATCATCGTCCTGGTCCCTTTGCAGAAAAACAGCCCCAAAGCATGATGTTTCCACCCCCATGCTTCACAGTAGGTATGGTGTTCTTTGGATGCAACTCAGCATTCTTTGTCCTCCAAACACGACGAGTTGAGTTTTTACCAAAAAGTTCTATTTTGGTTTCATCTGACCATATGACATTCTCCCAATCCTCTTCTGGATCATCCAAATACACTCTAGCAAACTTCAGACGGGCCTGGACATGTACTGGCTTAAGCAGGGGGACACGTCTGGCACTGCATGATTTGAGTCCCTGGCGGCGTAGTGTGTTACTGATGGTAGGCTTTGTTACTTTGGTCCCAGCTCTCTGCAGGTCATTCACTAGGTCCCCCCGTGTGGTTCTGGGATTTTTGCTCACCGTTCTTGTGATCATTTTGACCCCACGGGTGAGATCTTGCGTGGAGCCCCAGATCGAGGGAGATTATCAGTGTGTCTTCCATTTCCTAATAATTGCTCCCACAGTTGATTTCTTCAAACCAAGCTGCTTACTTATTGCAGATTCAGTCTTCCCAGCCTGGTGCAGGTCTACAATTTTGTTTCTGGTGTCCTTTGACAGCTCTTTGGTCTTGGCCATAGTGGAGTTTGGAGTGTGACTGTTTGAGGTTGTGGACAGGTGTCTTTTATACTGATAACAAGTTCAAACAGGTGCCATTAATACAGGTAACGAGTGGAGGACAGAGGAGCCTCTTAAAGAAGAAGTTACAGGTCTGTGAGAGCCAGAAATCTTGCTTGTTTGTAGGTGACCAAATACTTATTTTCCACCATAATTTGCAAATAAATTCATTAAAAATCCTACAATGTGATTTTCTGGATTTTTTTTCCTCAATTTGTCTGTCATAGTTGACGTGTACCTATGATGAAAATTACAGGCCTCTCATCTTTTTAAGTGGGAGAACTTGCACAATTGGTGGCTGACTAAATACTTTTTTCCCCCATTGTGTGTGTGTGTGTGTGTGTGTGTGTGGGTGTGTGTGTGTGTGTGTGTGTGTATATATATATATCTATATATATTATCTATATATATATATATATATATATATATTGGGACACAGTCGTATTGAGGCCTGTGCAGGCAGGCCCCGATATCCCCCAAGACATGGAAAAACCTAGAAACATTATAAAACATGATCCTTCTCTTCCCTGGGAGAGAAACAGATGTTTACGACTGTTAGAGAAATCTGTTCTCTCTTTGAAAGACTTTCACAACGTTTGGCACCTTTTGAAACAAGGTTTATATAAGACTGCTGGGGGATGTAAATGTAACGTGATGACGCAGAACACTTGTTCCTAGTTTCTTCATGTAGTGTAATATTGAGTCAGAGACAGACAGTTGAAGTTAGGACCATGGACATAATGTAATACAGGGAGGTCCAAAAGTATTGGGACAGTGACACATTTTCTGTTGTTTTAGCTCTGTACTCCAGCACTTTGGATTTTAAATGATACAATAACTATGAGGTTAAAGTGCAAACATCGAATTAGACAGTTGTGCAACTCTTACCATCACAAACATTGATAAATGACTGTTGGGGTTAGCTAGCTACACATATGGATTTGATTTGTGAACAGTGCTCCGTCTCTGGCAGTATCTCCGTCTCTGGCAGTATCTCCGTCTCTGGCAGTATCGCCGTCTCTTGTCTGTCTGTCCCTAGCAGTAACTCTGTCCCTAGCTGGATATCACACCAGCGCCAGATGGGGGTTTGACTAGCTAGGCCTGAGTGGATATCACACCAGTTCCAGGTGGGGGTTTGACTAGCCAGGCCTGAGTGGATATCACACCAGTTCCAGGTGGGGGTTTGACTAGCCAGGCCTGAGTGGATATCACACCAGTTCCAGGTGGGGGTTTGACTAGCCAGGCCTGAGTGGATATCACACCAGTTCCAGGTGGGGGTTTGACTAGCCAGGCCTGAGTGGATATCACACCAGTTCCAGTTGGGGGTTTGACTAGCCAGGCCTGAGTGGATATCACACCAGTTCCAGGTGGGGGTTTGACTAGCCAGGCCTGAGTGGATATCACACCAGTTGCAGGTGGGGGTTTGACTAGCCAGGCCTGAGTGGATATCACACCAGTTCCAGGTGGGGGTTTGACTAGCCAGGCCTGAGTGGATATCACACCAGTTGCAGGTGGGGGTTTGACTAGCCAGGCCTGAGTGGATATCACACCAGTTCCAGGTGGGGGTTTGACTAGCCAGGCCTGAGTGGATATCACACCAGTTCCAGTTGGGGGTTTGACTAGCCAGGTCTGAGTGGATATCACACAAGTTCCAGGTGGAGGTTTGACTAGCCAGGCCTGAGTGGATATCACACCAGTTCCAGGTGGGGGTTTGACTAGCCAGGCCTGGGGGTCTCTGTCTGTACTATGTCTCATCAGGTTTGATTAGTTATGTCTTATCTGAAATGGCACCCTATTCGCTACAAGAGCCCTATGTGGAAGCTTTATGTGGGCTCTGGTCCAACGTAGTGCACTACATAGGGAATAGGGTGCCATTTAAGATGCACTAAGGTCTCACCTGAGTTCATGAGTTTCCACAGCTGGTCAACCAGAGCCTCGTTGCAGAGTGGAGACTCGGCTGCTTTGGTGAAGGGAGGGTTTTTACCCAGCATGCTCAGGATCTTGTGTCTGAATGAACATAGAGGAAGTGGAGGTTAACATCCTGTTACTTCACAGCCACAGACCATCAATAACACCTTTCCTGGGACAGACCATAACATAAACACCTTTCCTGGGACACAATCAGGATTCATGTATTTAGATTCAAACTGCTGAGCATTGAGTATCATCAATACATTTTGTATACAATACATAAATACATCAATTGATAAATTCACTGTGACATTCCTTGTTTTTACACAGCACTAAATAAATAACCACCCTGTTTTCTTGCTGACTTTGACAAAATGTCCCCATATCCTGAAGCCAGAGAGATAAATTATGATGTATCTTTATGTATGAGGCAGCCAACCCAACAGACATACCTGACACACACACACAGTACCTGATGTAGTGAGCGGGGTCATTCTGGACCATGTTGAGCAGCCACTGCAGTTCCACGGAGCTCCTGTCAACTAGCAATAAACAGCATGTTAAAACACACCACACACACCTCAGGCAGGCAGGCAGGCAGGCAGGCAGGCAGGCACCCACCCCCCCCCCCCCCGGGTCAAGGTGTTCACCCCAGAGAACTAGGGTGTGTCCAAAATGGCACGCTAGTCTCCATGTAGTGTGCATTCGGAAAGAATTCAGACCCCTTCCCATTTTCCACATATTGTTACGTTACAGCCTTATTCTAAAATGGATTAAATAAATGTTTTTCCTCAGCAATATACACACAATACCGCATAAAAACAAAGTGAAAAACAGGTTTTTAGAAATGTTTGAAAATGTATTAAAAATTAAAAACAGAAATACCTTATTTACATAAGTATTCAGACCCTTTGCTATGAAACTCGAAATTGAGCTCAGGTGCATCCTGTTTCCATTGATCATCCTTGAGATGTTTCTACAACTTGATTGGAGTCCACCTGTGGTAAATTCAATTGATTGGACAGGATTTGGAAAGGCACACAACTGTCTATATAAAGGTCCCACAGTTGACAGTGCATGTCAGAGCAAAAACCCAAGCCATGAGGTCGAAGGAATTGTCCGTAGAGCTCCGAGACAGGATTATGTCGAGGCACAGATCTAGGGAAGGGTACCAAAACATTTCTGCAGCATTGAAGGTCCCCAAGAACACAGCGGCCTCCATCATTCTTAAATGGAAGAAGTTTGGAACCACCAAGACTCTTCCTAGAGCTGGCCGCCCGGCCAAACTGAGCAATCGGGGGAGAAGGGCCTTGGTCAGGGAGGTCACCAAGAACCCAATGGTCACTCTGACAGAGCTCCAGAGTTCCTCTGTGGAGATGGGAGAACCTTCCAGAAGGACAACCATCTCTGCAGCACTCCACCAATCAGGCCTTTATGGTAGAGTGGCCAGACGGAAGCCACTCCTCAGTAAAAGGCACATGACAGCCCGCTTGGAGTTTGCCAAAAGGCACCTAAAGGACTCTCAGACCATGAGAAACAACATTCTCTGTTCTGATGAAACCAATATTGAACTCTTTGGCCTGAATGCCAAGCGTCACGTCTGGAGGAAACCTGGCACCATCCCTACGGTAAAGTATGGTGGTGGCAGCATGTTTTTCAGCGGCAGGAACTGGGAGACTAGTCCGGATTGAGGCAAAGATGAACGAAGCAAAGTACAGAGAGATCCTTGATGAAAACCTGCTCCAGAGCGCTCAGGACCTCAGACTGGGGCGAAGGTTCACCTTTCAACAGGACAACGACCCTAAGCACACAGCCAAGACAACGCAGGAGTGGCTTTGGGCCAAGTTTCTGAATGTCCTTGAGTGGCCCAGCCAGAGCTCGGACTTGAACCCGATCGAACATCTCTGGAGAGACCTGAAAATAGCTGTGCAGCGACGCTCCTCATCCAACCTGATAGAGTTTGAGAGGATCTGCAGAGAAGAATGGGAGAAACTCCCCAAATACAGGCGTGCCAAGCTTGTAGCGTCATACCCAAGAAGACTCAAAGCTGTAATCGCTGCCAAAAGTGCTTCAACAAAGTACTGAGTAAAGGATCTGAATACTTATGTAAATTTGATATTTATTTGTATATAAATGTTTTTTAAAAAATCTAAAAACCAGTTTTTGCTTTGTCATTATGGGGTATTGTGTGTAGACTGATGAGGGGGAATTTTTTTAATCCATTTTAAAATAAGGATGTAACGAAACAAATTATGGAAAAAGTCAAGGGGTCTGAATACTTTCCGAATGCACTGTAGTCAAGTCCACTACTTTTGACTAATTATAACCCTATGTGGCTCTGGCTAAATGTAGTGCACTACATAGGGAATAGGGTGTGTCCTACTAACTTCACTACTGCTAGTTTGGTGCATACTTCTTGTGTAGTCCACCACAGCTTCCAGTGCTGCGACACGCACATCCACAAAGTGTCCGTATTCTGCATAGGACTTAAACAGAGAGGGGTCACTGGGAATATGGCCATTCTTCTGAAGCATCCGGATAGCTCTGAGACAACTGGAGAGAGAGAGATGGAGAGAGAGAGGGGGGATGGAGGAGAGAGAGAGGGGGAGGAGAAGAGAGAGGGGGGAAAAGAGAGAGGAGAGAGGGGGGATGGGAGGAGGGGGGGGGGGGAGTCATGAAGTGGGGGGCAGGGGCCCGGCTGGGGGAGGGGGGGCAGGGGGGCGATCCATTTGGAAGGGCCCGGGAATTGCGTCGTGTCGTTATTTGGGGGTAGGGGAAAGCAGGGAGGTTCGTCCCCGGGGGACCTCCTTTCAGCCCTTTGGCCGCATTTATGCTCCGAATCTTTGCCCCCCGTAGCGGGAGTGAGGTTTGAGCTTGGGATTCCGCGGCGTCCTTAGACCCTGAGCCCTCTACGCCCCCTGCTTATCCTATGTCCCTTTTGCTCTGCGCCTGAACCAGTGAAGCTGTTCTTTTGTGCCTGGGACCTGTTCCGCAGAGACATTCCGGTGGGTGCAACTTCCCCGCGGGATGCCCTTGGGGGGGGGAAGGGCAGGGGGGATCAGAGGTGGACCATTTTCTCTCAGGGCAGAGGGCTGCACCGCGGGCCAGGAGTGTGAGAATACGGAGGTGGGGCCCCGAAAAGAAGGGTGGGAGGGGGGGAGGGGGAAGGGAGGGGGAAAGGGAAAGATGGCCCGGAAGGGGGGGATGAGGGGACCCTTTGGAGGGGGGGGGGGGCGCGCCCGCCCAAAAAAAGGGGGGGGAAAAAAAAAGGGAGGGGGGGGGGGGGCAAGGTGAGGGGGGGGATGGGGGGAGGGGAAACCCCCAAACCAAAGGGGGGGGGGAGGGGGGGAGAGAAGGGGGAGGGGAGAGAGGCGGGGAGGGGGGGGGGGGGGGGGGGGAGGAACCCGGGGGGGGGAGGGGGAGAAAGGAGGGGGGGGGGGGGGGGGGGGGGGAGGAAGGGGGAGGGAGGAGAGGAGGGAGGGGGAGGGAGAGAAGGGAGGGAGGGGGGGGGGAGGGAGGAAAAGGGGGGGGGGGGAAAAGGGAGGGGGGGGGGAGAGGAGGGGAAGGGGGGGGGAGGGGGGAGGGGGGGGGGGGGAAAAAAGGGGGGGGGGGAAAAAAAGGGGGGGGGGGGGAGGGGGGGTTTGGGGGGGGGGGGGAAAGGGGGTGGGGGGGGGGGGGGGGGGGGGGTTGGGGGGGGGGGGGGGGGGGGGGGGGGGGGGAAAAAGGGGGGAGGGAAAACCCCAAAACCCCAAAAAGAAGAGAGGAGAAGAGGAGGGGGGGGAGGGAAAGAGGGGGGAGAGGGGGGAGGGAGAGAGGGGAAGAGAGATGGAGAGAGAGAGAGGGGGAGGGAGGAGGAGACGAGAGAGAGGGAGGGGGAGGAGAGAGAGAGGGAGGAGGAGAGAGAAGGGGGGGAGGAGAGAGAGGGGGATGGAGGAGAGAGAGAGGGAGGAGGAGAGAGAGAGAGGGAGGAGGAGAGAGAGAGGGAGGAGGAGAGAGAGAGGGAGGGAGGAGAGAGAGGGAGGGAGGAGAGAGAGATGGATGGAAGAGAGGGATGGAGGAGAGAGAGAGGGATGGAAGAGAGAGAGAGAGAGGTAGAGGGAGATGGAGGAGAGAGAGATGGAGGAGAGAGAGAGATAGAGGAGAGGGAGAGAAATGGAGGAGAGATGGAGGAGAGAGAGGGAGAGAGATGGAGGAGAGAGAGGGAGAGAGATGGAGGAGAGAGAGAGGGAGAGAGATGGAGGAGAGAGAGGGAGAGAGATGGAGGAGAGAGAGAGAGATGGAGGAGAGAGAGAGAGAGAGAGCGAGAGATGGAGGAGAGAGAGGGAGGGAGGAGAGAGGAGAGAGGAGGGAGAGAGAGAGAGAGATGGAGGAGAGAGATAAAGATCACTCATCTATAACCCTAAATCAAAGTTCCTCTATGATTTTTTACACGCCAACACCCTTTAGGGTTAAAAAGATTTGGAGTGTTACAACTGGAAATCAAAGTCGCAGATTGTGCCTTTAAGGCATTTTCATTGATAAGATCATGTAGGTGGGAAAGTTTACCCTGGCACTCAACTAGCTTCTTGTACGGGACGTGTTTGGAAATATCTGGGAAGAGGGTACAAGGGCCAAAAAGCTTCCACGCCAGCCAGCTCAACAATGACCCTTTGGGTCAACCACTATTTGGTCAATCTTTTATCTATCAACACAATGTAAAACCAGCCACTAACACCGGCAAATCAAAACACTGACACCAAGCACCAGCATTTACCACCAGCACTTACCATGCACTAGTACTCCACTTCATCCTAAATTGTGTTACACCTGACAGTGATGGTGTTGTGGTAGCTGGGCAGTAGTGACGATCTCCTCCAGGATGTTTAGTTTATATAGTATAATGTATAGTGGTATCTATAGTAGTGATATCTTTACCTGACAGTGATGGTGTTGTGGTAGCTGGGCAGTAGTGATGATCTCCTCCAGGATGTTTAGTATAATGTATAGTGGTATCTATAGTAGTGATATCTCTACCTGACAGTGATGGTGTTGCGGTAGCTGGGCAGTAGTTTCTCCATGTTAAGAAAGCGTGTGATCTCCTCCAGGATGAGGCGTACGTCTCCGTTGAGGTTGTCCACGGTGCGGACCTCGTTACTAATGCTGATGGCCGGGGTCAGGGAGTTGGTCAGAGCATCAATCAGCTCAGCACGGTAGTAGTTGTCAGAGAACTAGGAAAAAGACAACAACAATATTAAAGTCATTAGTGCCAGTCAGAGTCTGGCCTAGTGGTCGGCACAGCCAACTCCAGATCACTCATTAGTACCAGTCAGAGTCTGGCCTAGTGGTTGGCACAGCCAACTCCAGATCACTCATTAGTACCAGTCAGAGTCTGGCCTACTGGTCGGCACAGCCAACTCCAGATCACTCATTAGTGCCAGTCACAGTCTGGCCTAGTGGTCGGCACAGCCAACTCCAGATCACTCATTAGTACCAGTCAGAGTCTGGCCTAGTGGTCGGCACAGCCAACTCCAGATCACTCATTAGTACCAGTCAGAGTCTGGCCTAGTGGTCGGCACAGCCAACTCCAGATCACTCATTAGTACCAGTCAGAGTCTGGCCTAGTGGTCGGCACAGCCAACTCCAGATCACTCATTAGTACCAGTCAGAGTCTGGCCTAGTGGTTGGCACAGCCAACTCCAGATCACTCATTAGTACCAGTCAGAGTCTGGCCTACTGGTCGGCACAGCCAACTACAGATCACTCATTAGTACCAGTCAGAATCTGGCCTAGTGGTCGGCACAGCCAACTCCAGATCACTCATTAGTACCAGTCAGAGTCTGGCCTAGTGGTCGGCACAGCCAACTCCAGATCACTCATTAGTACCAGTCAGAGTCTGGCCTAGTGGTCGGCACAGCCAACTCCAGATCACTCATTAGTACCAGTCAGAGTCTGGCCTAGTGGTTGGCACAGCCAACTCCAGATCACTCATTAGTACCAGTCAGAGTCTGGCCTACTGGTCGGCACAGCCAACTCCAGATCACTCATTAGTACCAGTCAGAATCTGGCCTAGTGGTCGGCACAGCCAACTCCAGATCACTCATTAGTGCCAGTCACAGTCTGGCCTAGTGGTCGGCACAGCCAACTCCAGATCACTCATTAGTGCCAGTCAGAGTCTGGCCTAGTGGTCGGCACAGCCAACTCCAGATCACTCATTAGTGCCAGTCACAGTCTGGCCTAGTGGTCGGCATAGCCAACTCCAGATCACTCATTAGTACCAGTCAGAGTCTGGCCTACTGGTCGGCATAGCCAACTCCAGATCACTCATTAGTACCAGTCAGAGTCTGGCCTAGTGGTCGGCACAGCCAACTCCAGATCACTCATTAGTACCAGTCAGAGTCTGGCCTAGTGGTCGGCACAGCCAACTCCAGATCACTCATTAGTACCAGTCAGAGTCTGGCCTAGTGGTTGGCACAGCCAACTCCAGATCACTCATTAGTACCAGTCAGAGTCTGGCCTACTGGTCGGCACAGCCAACTACAGATCACTCATTAGTACCAGTCAGAATCTGGCCTAGTGGTCGGCACAGCCAACTCCAGATCACTCATTAGTACCAGTCAGAGTCTGGCCTAGTGGTCGGCACAGCCAACTCCAGATCACTCATTAGTACCAGTCAGAGTCTGGCCTAGTGGTCGGCACAGCCAACTCCAGATCACTCATTAGTACCAGTCAGAGTCTGGCCTAGTGGTTGGCACAGCCAACTCCAGATCACTCATTAGTACCAGTCAGAGTCTGGCCTACTGGTCGGCACAGCCAACTCCAGATCACTCATTAGTACCAGTCAGAATCTGGCCTAGTGGTCGGCACAGCCAACTCCAGATCACTCATTAGTGCCAGTCACAGTCTGGCCTAGTGGTCGGCACAGCCAACTCCAGATCACTCATTAGTGCCAGTCAGAGTCTGGCCTAGTGGTCGGCACAGCCAACTCCAGATCACTCATTAGTGCCAGTCAGAGTCTGGCCTAGTGGTCGGCATAGCCAACTCCAGATCACTCATTAGTACCAGTCAGAGTCTGGCCTACTGGTCGGCATAGCCAACTCCAGATCACTCATTAGTACCAGTCAGAGTCTGGCCTAGTGGTCGGCACAGCCAACTCCAGATCACTCATTAGTACCAGTCAGAGTCTGGCCTAGTGGTCGGCACAGCCAACTCCAGATCACTCATTAGTACCAGTCAGAGTCTGGCCTAGTGGTTGGCACAGCCAACTCCAGATCACTCATTAGTGCCAGTCACAGTCTGGCCTAGTGGTCGGCACAGCCAACTCCAGATCACTCATTAGTGCCAGTCAGAGTCTGGCCTAGTGGTCGGCACAGCCAACTCCAGATCACTCATTAGTACCAGTCAGAGTCTGGCCTACTGGTCGGCACAGCCAACTCCAGATCACTCATTAGTACCAGTCAGAATCTGGCCTAGTGGTCGGCACAGCCAACTCCAGATCACTCATTAGTACCAGTCAGAGTCTGGCCTAGTGGTCGGCACAGCCAACTCCAGATCACTCATTAGTACCAGTCAGAGTCTGGCCTACTGGTCGGCACAGCCAACTCCAGATCACTCATTAGTACCAGTCAGAATCTGGCCTAGTGGTCGGCACAGCCAACTCCAGATCACTCATTAGTGCCAGTCACAGTCTGGCCTAGTGGTCGGCACAGCCAACTCCAGATCACTCATTAGTGCCAGTCAGAGTCTGGCCTAGTGGTCGGCACAGCCAACTCCAGATCACTCATTAGTACCAGTCAGAGTCTGGCCTAGTGGTTGGCACAGCCAACTCCAGATCACTCATTAGTACCAGTCAGAGTCTGGCCTACTGGTCGGCACAGCCAACTCCAGATCACTCATTAGTACCAGTCAGAATCTGGCCTAGTGGTCGGCACAGCCAACTCCAGATCACTCATTAGTACCAGTCAGAGTCTGGCCTAGTGGTCGGCACAGCCAACTCCAGATCACTCATTAGTACCAGTCAGAGTCTGGCCTAGTGGTCGGCACAGCCAACTCCAGATCACTCATTAGTACCAGTCAGAGTCTGGCCTAGTGGTTGGCACAGCCAACTCCAGATCACTCATTAGTACCAGTCAGAGTCTGGCCTACTGGTCGGCACAGCCAACTCCAGATCACTCATTAGTACCAGTCAGAATCTGGCCTAGTGGTCGGCACAGCCAACTCCAGATCACTCATTAGTGCCAGTCACAGTCTGGCCTAGTGGTCGGCACAGCCAACTCCAGATCACTCATTAGTGCCAGTCAGAGTCTGGCCTAGTGGTCGGCACAGCCAACTCCAGATCACTCATTAGTGCCAGTCAGAGTCTGGCCTAGTGGTCGGCATAGCCAACTCCAGATCACTCATTAGTACCAGTCAGAGTCTGGCCTACTGGTCGGCATAGCCAACTCCAGATCACTCATTAGTACCAGTCAGAGTCTGGCCTAGTGGTCGGCACAGCCAACTCCAGATCACTCATTAGTACCAGTCAGAGTCTGGCCTAGTGGTCGGCAAAGCCAACTCCAGATCACTCAGACAGTATTCCCAACGATGGGGAACCCTGGTCCACCACTCTCTGAACGGTTCCTCTCCTTTACCCTGTCAACTTCCCATTACCAAATGTCTAATCAACGTATAAACATAGAAAATGGAGAACAACAAGATTACAGTCATTAACACACAACTCTGTTGTCCTCTTGTCCTGTCCTCTCCACTGGTGTTGTCATGCTGTTTCTGAACATAACCATAAGGACTTAGGGAAACCCACAGGACCAAATCATCAGCTAGGATGTAATCTAGTAAAGTTATGAAACCCAGCTCACTAACTGAATCGTTATATTAACTCCACCAATCATACTGGCAATCTGTTTTCAGTTTATTTGTACAGTCTGTGTTAAGTTTTCATGACTTTTTACTTTCTGCTCATTTCTGTGGGAAGGGTTGCCATAGGGTGGAGGGACGAGGGAGGGTGGTGGGTGATATGTTTGTGTCCTGTGCTTTATTCACTGGTCACAACAAAACAAACCCATCTCACCTTGTTCTTCCTGTTGTCGTTGTACTTGATGAGGTCCAGGATGAAGTTGAGGACATCTTTGGGACAGAGGTTCTGGATGTCTCTGAGTTGAGCCATGGCTACAGGCATGGTCTAGGAATAGATCAAACACAGAGGTCATTACAGAGGTCAAAATACTGTACTACAGTAATCAGCTTCATCAATGTTTACATATTTCTTGCAATTTCCATGGAAACTAATTCATATTTCTGCCACCGTTGTCTCCTAAAGGTTTAACTGAAACAGTCCACAGCGTGTAACATGTACACCATGACGGTAGATATTTAACCAACAGCCTTAGTCTACTGCTCTGTGTTGAGGTGATGCGCCATGGTTAAGTACCTTCTGTAGGAAGTAGCTCTGGAAGCTGATGAAGTTGTTGGTCTTGACGATGTTGGGACAGCTCTTACAGCAGAACATCCTGGTGAACAGAGACTTCATGGCTGGAGGACCCGTCCATGTGCTCATCATGGAGTTAGCAATCTATAAATATAAATCAGTAAATACGGGATATAGCTGACTCCTACTGCTCAATTTGAGTTGATGTGCGATAGCTAGCTATCCTGGTGAACAGGGACTTCATGGAGGAGGAGAGTTTGCTATCTAGACACAGAAGATACTAAATAATAGACATATTAGCTTGTATTCTAACTAGGATGGCACATGACACTGAATAAGGCTTCCTAGCCAAAGTGTTGTGCTATTCATTTGAAAGTTCACTGCAAGGGGACAAGAGAGTGCGACTTTGATTAGATTTTCTAGAGTTCAGAACAATTGGCTTCTGGCCTGTTACATGAGGAAGTGACTGAGCTGAGGGAACTCCTTACTCTCTCTCTCAGCAGGATATTAGGGGGAAAGACAGAGCTGAACGTCTCCCTACTCTCTCTCAGCAGGATATTAGGGGGAAAGACAGAGCTGAACGTCTCCCTACTCTCTCTCAGCAGGATATTAGGGGGAAAGACAGAGCTGAACGTCTCCCTACTCTCTCTCAGCAGGATATTAGGGGGAAAGACAGAGCTGAATGTCTCCCTACTCTCTCTCAGCAGGATATTAGGGGGAAAGACAGAGCTGAATGTCTCCCTACTCTCTCTCAGCAGGATATTAGGGGGAAAGACAGAGCTGAACGTCTCCCTACTCTCTCTCAGCAGGATATTAGGGGGAAAGACAGAGCTGAACGTCTCCCTACTCTCTCTCAGCAGGATATTAGGGGGAAAGACAGAGCTGAATGTCTCCCTACTCTCTCTCAGCAGGATATTAGGGGGAAAGACAGAGCTGAATGTCTCCCTACTCTCTCTCAGCAGGATATTAGGGGGAAAGACAGAGCTGAATGTCCCTCTACAGCGCTGGGGCTAGCAGTCAGGATGTTGTCATTTTTCAGCTAGGTAAACACATGGCCCTGGGGTGGACGGGTGTGTGTGTGTATGCGAGTGTGGGTGTGTGGACTCTGCTTGGACTTGCCCCTTTCCTGCCGGCTCCCACTCTTTCAACAAAGACAGCCTATCACTGGCCTGCCAAGTCTATCAGGGTTACCCGTGTAACATCCTGTGGTCTGAAAGACCATCAACTAGCTACATTAAATTCTGGAAGCCAACGAAACCAAACAGAGCCTGATGTAACTCCACATTCATTTTGATTTTACAAAAATATTGATTCAGGTGAAAATATTATAAATGTAGGAAATCAATCGGATATGGGGGGGGGGGGGGTTGACAGATAAAGCAACAACAACAAAAAAAGTTCTACAGGGGTTGTTGAATTGGGTTTTAAAGAAGAATGAATACTAGGAAGGTGGATAGCCTAATGACACAGCAGTCCCCTTGGCTTAGAATAAAGGACTGGTGTGCTCAACTCGCCATCATCACACTAACATCCTACCATGGGTAATGAATCAATGGGGGGCTAAAGTTGGATGGGTGGGTGGCATAAGTGTACTTCCTACCTTGGCGAGGCAGAAGCAGGCCCCCTGGCGGACCTTGTAGAAGCACTGGTCCTGTTCTAGGATGTCGGTGAGCGCCAGACGGGAGGCTGGGGTGGGGAACTTCTCCAGGGCTAAAATAGACTCCTCCTGGGCCACTACGTCACGCTCATACCTGAGAAAGATCGTTATGAACCATGAAAAATACTTCAAGACAAGCAAGCACACACATCTTCTTCAGGAAAATGTATCTTTTTTAGTTTGCTTTGAGCTTCATGTTGACATGTCAGATCTACAGCTTGTGTTGTCATGGCTCTGTGGCGTGATCTGTTGTCATGGCTCTGTGGTGTGATCTGCGGTCATGGCTGTGTGGTGTGATCTGTTGTCATGGCTCTGTGGTGTGATCTGTTGTCATGCCTTTCTAATTGACCTGGCCCGGGTATCCTGGATGAATATTGACCTCATTCCGTCAGTAGAGGATGCCTGGTTGTTCTTTAAAAGTGCTTTCCTCTCAATCTTAAATAAGCATGCCCCATTCAAAAGATTCTGAACTAAGAACAGATATAGCCCCTGGTTCTCCTCAGACTTGACTGCCCTTGACCAGCACAAAAACATCCTGTGGCGTACTGCATTAGCATCGAACAGCCCCCGCGATATGCAACTTTTCAGGGAAGTCAGGAACCAATATACACAATCAGTTAGGAAAGCAAAGGCTAGCTTTTTAAAACAGAAATTTGCATCCTGTAGCACTAACTCCAAAATGTTTTGGCACACTGTAAAGTCATTGGAAAATAAGAGCACCTCCTCCCAACTGCCCACTGAAGGCTAGGAAACACTGTCACCACCGATAAATCTACAATAATCGAGAATTTCAACAAGCATTTTGCTACGGCTGGCCATGCTTTCCACCTGGCTACCACTACCCCGGCCACTAGCTCTGCACCCTTCGCTGCAACTTGCCCATGCGCCCCCCGCTTCTCCTTCACACAAATTCAGACAGCTGATGTTCTGAAAGAACTGAAAAATCTGGACCCCTACAAATCAGCTGGGCTAGACAATCTGGACCATTTCTTTCTAAAATTAGCTGCCGAAATTGTCGCAACCCCTATTACTAGCCTGTTCAACCTTTCTTTCGTAACGTCTGAGATCCCCAGAGATTGGAAAGCTGCCGCGGTCATCCCCCTCTTCAAAGGGGGTGACACTCTAGATCCAAACTGTTACAGACCTATATCCATCCTGCCCTGCCTTTCGAAAGTATTTGAAAGCCAAGTTAACAAACAGATCACCGACCATTCCGAATCCCACCGTACCTTCTCCGCTATGCAATCCGGTTTCCGAGCTGGTCATGGGTGCACCTCAGCCACGCTCAAGGTCCTAAACGATATTATAACCGCGATCGATAAAAGACAGTACTGCGCAGCCGTCTTCATCGACCTGGCCAAGGCTTTCGACTCTGTCAACCACCGCATTCTTATTGGCAGACTAAATAGCCTTGGTTTCTCTAATGACTGCCTCGCCTGGTTCACCAACTACTTCTCAGATAGAGTTCAATGTGTCAAATCGGAGGGCCTGTTGTCTGGACCTCTGGCCGTCTCTATGGGGGTGCCACAGGGTTCAATTCTCGGGCCGACTCTATTCTCTGTGTATATCAATGATGTTGCTCTTGCTGCTGGTGAAGCTCGGATCCACCTCTATGCGGACGACACCATTTTGTATACATCTGGCCCTTCATTGGACACGGTGTTAACAAACCTCCAAACGAGCTTCAACACCATACAACACTCCTTCCGTAGCCTCCAACTGCTCTTAAACACTAGTAAAACTAAATGCATGTTCTTCAACCGAACGCTGCTTGCACCCGCCCACCCGACTAGAATCACTACTCTCGGCGGGTCTGACCTAGAGTATGTGGACAACTACAAATACCTAGGTGTCTGGTTAGACTGTAAACTCTCCTTCCAGACTCACATTAAGCATCTCCAATCAAAAGTTAGATCTAGAATCGGCTTCCTATTTCGCAACAAAGCCTCCTTCACTCATGCTGCCAAACATGCCCTCGTAAAACTGACTATCCTACCGATCCTTGACTTCGGCAATGTCATTTACAAAATAGCCTTCAACACTCTACTCAGCAAATTGGATGTAGTCTATCACAGTGCCATCCGTTTTGTCACCAAAGCCCCATATACTACCCACCATTGTGACCTGTACGCTCTTGTTGGCTGGCCCTCACTACATATTCGTCGCCAAACCCACTGGCTCCAGGTCATCTATAAATCACTGCTAGGCAAATCCCCGTCTTACCTTAGCTCACTGGTCACCATAGCAACACCCACCCGTAGTCTGCGCTCCAGCAAGTATACAGTGGGGAAAAAAAGTATTTAGGTCAGCCACCAATTGTGCAAGTTCTCCCACTTAAAAAGATGAGAGGCCTGTAATTTTCAGCATAGGTACACATCAACTATGACAGACAAATTGAGGAAAAAAAATCCAGAAAATCACATTGTAGGATTTTTTATGAATTTATTTGCAAATTATGGTGGAAAATAAGTATTTGGTCACCTACAAACAAGCAAGATTTCTGGCTCTCACAGACCTGTAACTTCTTCTTTAAGAGGCTCCTCTGTCCTCCACTCGTTACCTGTATTAATGGCACCTGTTTGAACTTGTTATCAGTATAAAAGACACCTGTCCACAACCTCAAACAGTCACACTCCAAACTCCACTATGGCCAAGACCAAAGAGCTGTCAAAGGACACCGGAAACAAAATTGTAGACCTGCACCAGGCTGGGAAGACTGAATCTGCAATAGGTAAGCAGCTTGGTTTGAAGAAATCAACTGTGGGAGCAATTATTAGGAAATGGAAGACATACAAGACCACTGATAATCTCCCTCGATCTGGGGCTCCACGCAAGATCTCACCCCGTGGGGTCAAAATGATCACAAGAACGGTGAGCAAAAATCCCAGAACCACACAGGGGGACCTAGTGAATGACCTGCAGAGAGCTGGGAGCAAAGTAACAAAACCTACCATCAGTAACACACTACGCCGCCAGGGACTCAAATCCTGCAGTGCCAGACGTGTCCCCCTGCTTAAGCCAGTACATGTCCAGGCCCGTCTGAAGTTTGCTAGAGTGCATTTGGATGACCCAGAAGAGGATTGGGAGAATGCCATATGGTCAGATGAAACCAAAATATAACTTTTTGGTAAAAACTCAACTCGTCGTGTTTGGAGGACAAATATTGCTGAGTTGCATCCAAAGAACACCATACCTACTGTGAAGCATGGGGGTGGAAACATTATGCTTTGGGGCTGTTTTTCTGCAAAGGGACCAGGACGACTGATCCGTGTAAAGGAAAGAATGAATGGGGCCATGTATCGTGAGATTTTGAGTGAAAACCTCCTTCCATCAGCAAGGGCATTGAAGATGAAACGTGGCTGGGTCTTTCAGCATGACAATGATCCCAAACACACCGCCCGGGCAACGAAGGAGTGGCTTCGTAAGAAGCATTTCAAGGTCCTGGAGTGGCCTAGCCAGTCTCCAGATCTCAACCCCATAGAAAATCTTTGGAGGGAGTTGAAAGTCCGTGTTGCCCAGCGACAGCCCCAAAACATCACTGCTCTAGAGGAGATCTGCATGGAGGAATGGGCCAAAATACAAGCAACAGTGTGTGAAAACCTTGTGAAGACTTACAGAAAACGTTTGACCTGTGTCATTGCCAACAAAGGGTATATAACAAAGTATTGAGAAACTTTTGTTATTGACCAAATACTTATTTTCCACCATAATTTGCAAATAAATTCATTAAAAATCCTACAATGTGATTTTCTGGAGGAAAAAAATCTCATTTTGTCTGTCATAGTTGACGTGTACCTATGATGAAAATTACAGGCCTCTCTCATCTTTTTAAGTGGGAGAACTTGCACAATTGGTGGCTGACTAAATACTTTTTTCCCCCACTGTATCTCACTGGTCATCCCCAAAGCCAACACCTCCTTTGGCCGCCATTCCTTCCAGTTCTCTGCTGCCAATGACTGGAACGAACTGCAAAAATCTCTGAAGCTGGAGACTTATCTCCCTCACTAAATTTAAGCGCCAGTTGTCAGAGCAGCTTACCGATCACTGCACCTGTACACAGCCATTCTGAAATTAGCCCACCCAACTACCTCATCTCCATATTGTTATTTATTTTGCTAATTTGCACCCCAGTATCTCTATTTGCGCATCATCTTTTGCACATCTATCATTCCAGTGTTAATACGAAATAGTAACTATTTTGCACTATGGCCTATTTATTGCCTTACCTCCATAACTTACTACATTCGCACACACTGTATATATATTTTCTGTTTGTATTTTTTAATGTTTTGTTTACCCCATATGTAACTCTGTGTTGTTGTTTTTATCGCACTGCTTTGCTTTATCTTGGCCATAATTTTTTTTTTGAGAAAAATGGCTCTGTGGTGTAATCTGTTGTCATGGCTGTGTGGTATGATCTGTTGTCATGGCTCTGTGCTGTGATCTGTTGTCATGGCTCTGTGCTGTGATCTGTTGTCATGGCTCTGTGCTGTGATCTGTTGTCATGGCTCTGTGGTGTGATCTGCGGTCATGGCTCTGTGGTGTGATCAGTTGTCATGGCTCTGTGGTGTGATCTGTTGTCATCTTTTTCATGTTTGGAAATAAGGATTGTCTTTTTTAACTTGTGTGCAAGAATACATGAAGAAACAAATCCATGCAAAGGCAAATTCATAAAAGTAAAACGTGAAGCGCCCCGTACCGGAGCTGGTACTGCCACATGAAGTCTGCCTGCTCAAACTCCACCTTACGCAGGATGGACATGTCCGGATCGATCCGGATCCACAGCAAGGGAGAATCCGCACTGCGTGAGAAACAGAGTTAGTTAGTTATAGTTTCTTTGTGGAATGGAACGAACGTTATACTTTTCTGTTAATGAGAGTGGCTTGTCTGAATTGAACTGATTTGACAAACTTTTAACACTGAAGAATGTTGATTATTATATTTTAATGGCTAGATCCTTTGTTCCCTCTGAGGCTGTGATATACAGTGGGGAAAAAAAGTATTTAGTCAGCCACCAATTGTGCAAGTTCTCCCACTTAAAAAGATGAGAGAGGCCTGTAATTTTCATCATAGGTACACGTAAACTATGACAGACAAATTGAGAGAGAAAAAATCCAGAACATCACATTGTAGGATTTTTAATGAATTTATTTGCAAATTATGGTGGAAAATAAGTATTTGGTCACCTACAAACAAGCAAGATTTCTGGCTCTCACAGACCTGTAACTTCTTCTTTAAGAGGCTCCTCTGTCCTCCACTCGTTACCTGTATTATTGGCACCTGTTTGAACTTGTTATCAGTATAAAAGACACCTGTCCACAACCTCAAACAGTCACACTCCAAACTCCACTATGGCCAAGACCAAAGAGCTGTCAAAGGACACCAGAAACAAAATTGTAGACCTGCACCAGGCTGGGAAGACTGAATCTGCAATAGGTAAGCAGCTTGGTTTGAAGAAATCAACTGTGGGAGCAATTATTAGGAAATGGAAGACATACAAGACCACTGATAATCTCCCTCGATCTGGGGCTCCACGCAAGATCTCACCCCGTGGGGTCAAAATGATCACAAGAACGGTGAGCAAAAATCCCAGAACCACACGGGGGGACCTAGTGAATGACCTGCAGAGAGCTGGGACCAAAGTAACAAAGCCTACCATCAGTAACACACTACTCTGCCAGGGACTCAAATCCTGCAGTTCCAGACGTGTCCCCCTGCTTAAGCTAGTTCATGTCCAGGCCCGTCTGAAGTTTGCTGGAGTGCATTTGGATGATCCAGAAGAGGATTGGGAGAATGTCATATGGTCAGATGAAACCAAAATAGAACTTTTTGGTAAAAACTCAACTCGTCGTGTTTGGAGGACAAAGAATGCTGAGTTGCATCCAAAGAACACCATACCTACTGTGAAGCATGGGGGTGGAAACATCATGTTTTGGGGCTGTTTTTCTGCAAAGGGACCAGGACGACTGATCCGTGTAAAGGAAAGAATGAATGGGGCCATGTATCGTGAGATTTTGAGTGAAAACCTCCTTCCATCAGCAAGGGCATTGAAGATGAAACGTGGCTGGGTCTTTCAGCATGACAATGATCCCAAACACACCGCCCGGGCAATGAAGGAGTGGCTTCGTAAGAAGCATTTCAAGGTCCTGGAGTGGCCTAGCCAGTCTCCAGATCTCAACCCCATAGAAAATCTTTGGAGGGAGTTGAAACTCTGTGTTGCCCAGCGACAGCCCCAAAACATCACTGCTCTAGAGGAGATCTGCATGGAGGAATGGGCCAAAATACCAGCAACAGTGTGTGAAAACCTTGTGAAGACTTACAGAAAACGTTTGACCTGTGTCATTGCCAACAAAGGGTATATAACAAAGTATTGAGAAACTTTTGTTATTGACCAAATACTTATTTTCCACCACAATTTGCAAATAAATTCATAAAAAATCCTACAATGTGATTTTCTGGATTTATTTTTCTCATTTTGTCTGTCATAGTTGACGTGTACCTATGATGAAAATTACAGGCCTCTCTCATCTTTTTAAGTGGGAGAACTTGCACAATTGGTGGCTGACTAAATACTTTTTTCCCCCACTGTAGGTCTGAAATGATGTCACAACCTGATGTTCCCTCTGAGGGTAGGATGGCCCAAATCTAAACCAAACAGAAGTGATTGACTGAAGCCAACACCCGCTGCAGTTTAAACAGTGGAGAGAGAGGCAGGCAGACGACGCCACACCAGAGGGGATGTAGGAGGCCTGTCTGGCTGGAGCGATGTTAAAGTTGCCAAAGACTTGGCACGAGGGTTGTAGACAGTTGTAACTGCCTGCTGGGTTGTTGGTTAGTTTCTCACTGCTCGGTAACTGCCATAGCTGCCCTCCCTAACTCTGTAGTTTCAGTGTTGCTCTCCCTAACACTGTAGTATCAGTGGTGTTCTCCCTAACTCTGTAGTATCAGTGGTGTTCTCCCTAACTCTGTACTATCAGTGGTGGTCTCCCAAACTCTGTAGTATCAGTGTTGTTCTCCCTAACTCTGTAGTATCAGTGTTGTTCTCCCTAACTCTGTAGTATCAGTGGTGTTCTCCCTAACTCTGTAGTATCAGTGTTGCTCTCCCTAACTCTGTAGTATCAGTGTTGCTCTCCCTAACTCTGTAGTATCAGTGTTGCTCTCCCTAACTCTGTAGTATCAGTGTTGCTCTCCCTAACTCTGTAGTATCAGTGTTGTTCTCCCTAACTCTGTAGTATCAGTGTTGTTCTCCCTAACTCTGTAGTATCAGTGTTGTTCTCCCTAACTCTGTAGTATCAGTGTTGTTCTCCCTAACTCTGTAGTATCAGTGCTGTTCTCCCTAACTCTGTAGTATCAGTGTTGTTCTCCCTAACTCTGTAGTATCAGTGTTGTTCTCCCTAACTCTGTAGTATCAGTGTTGTTCTCCCTAACTCTGTAGTATCAGTGTTGTTCTCCCTAACTCTGTAGTATCAGTGCTGCTGTCCCTGTTCCTGCCTCTACTTCACTGGCCACTGAGAAAACAAGCTGGAGCAGACAGTCAGTGAGCAGACAGTCAGACATCAAACCAGATCAGAGGTAGACTGAACAGAGGGGCGGGGCCAGGAGACAGAGACACCCTGGGCTGGGCAGCACTGAGGCCTCAGAGTTCTGAGGAGATGAGTGAGAGAGAGTGGGAGCAATGGAAAGTCTGACTCCATAACAGACAGGTGAGTGAGTGAGAGAGAGTGGGAGCTGTATAAAGCAGCATAAAGTCTTACTCCATAGCAGACAGGTCCATGTCAACCTCCTCCCCGTTCATCAAAGGTATCTTCTTCTTCTTGTTTCTGGAGAAGGAAGAAATTAGTAACTAAGGAGGTGGAGCTAAACTGAGGGACAAAAACTTGATCCTCCAAACTACAGCTAAGATGGCATTGCATTAGGCTTATTGAAATGTGTTTGTATAGCAACAAAAACAGATGCAAGCTTGAGTTTACCGTCTGCTCTTTGAGTGGCAGGGAATGTCGTGCTTCAGGCTGTTCTCCTCTATCTGTAGAGTGTGGTTGAAGGATCCATCCAGCTCCTGGACTGTCACCTTGATGGGGCCCTACGGAACAAAGACAGTGAATCACCTTACTACTAAACCTCAGACTTGGGTCAAACACAAATGTCAAATACTTGCGGTAGCTTGATTTAGCTTTGCTGGTACAATGGAACCAATGGAATAGTCCCAAAAGTGCTAACTGCGCGCATCCTGCACACCAGTAAAGTTAAACCAACTCAGCTCAAAGAGGACCTACCACATATTTCTGTGTTCCAGAGGAGGTGTAGTCCTGTCGGATCTCCAGTTCTAGAACGTTCCGTTTCCTGTTGAAGGCAAAACTACCAAAGAACTTCACCACTGCACTCTGGTCTCTGTGGGTTTGAATTAAGGCTAATATCTAAACTGAAACAATTACAGTACTGATCACAATCAGGGGCACAATGGTATTGGCCATATATCACAAACCCCAGAGGTGCCTTATTGCTATTATAAACTGCTTACCAACGTAATTAGAGCAGTAACAATAAGTGTTTTGTCATACCCGTGGTATATGGTCTGATATACCACGGCTGTCAGCCAATCAGCATTCAGGGCTCGAACCACCCAGTTTATAATTCTAGTTGTATAGTGGATATTAAATCATCCAAAGTCTTGATATTACATACAGACTCTCTCACCAGTGTTCTAACCAGGCCAGTCTCTCCAGTGTTCTGCTAAGCAGGCTGAGGAAGCTGAACGGACACACCCACTGCTTGATGAGGGGCCCTATGTCCTAACTAACTATTAATCTGCTATTACATTGTTTTAGTCATGTTACAACCAGTCCCTCCAGGTTAAAGGATACACCCACTGCTTGATGAGGGGCCCTATGTCCTTCCCCGACACGTTGGAGATGGACTTGAGGAAGCTGTGGGTGGATACCAGCATCTGACTCCACATGTGTGACTGGTACTTCTGGGAGGAGGCTGTACTGGCCAGGCTTAGTAACTTGTTGAACACCTAGCACATAGGAAACAGAATAATGGAGTTAATGTATCTGGCTGAACTGGTCAGACTCAGGAGTTTAACAGGGGAAGAGTCAATGTGGTGCTCGGATCTGTGGTCCAATGAATTGAGGATTCTAAATGTATTCCTCTAGAGCAGCGTTTCCCAATCTCGGTCCTCTGGACCCCAAGGGGTGCACGTTTTGGTTTTTGCCCTAACACTACACAGCTGATTCAAATAATCAAAGCTAGATGATTAGTTGATTATTTGAATCAGCTGTGTAGTGCTAGGGCAACAACCAAAACGTGCAAACCTTGGGGTCCCGAGGACCGAGATTGGGAAACCCTGCTCTAGAGAAATTCCATGAAACTGCTAGGAATTGAACTGGAATGACCCAGACTCTACAATGTAGTGCAGTAATAATAAACTCAAGTGTTGAATCCCTGTAGGTATTAGTGTTTAAACAAATAGACTTCAAGTGTGGCCAGATGTTTACAGGAACCAGCCTGCATACTAGGTGATTGATGATGCTGATTGATGGATTATTAATTGATTATTAATTGCTCACCTGCAGCATGAACTCCATGCTGATCCTGTTCTCGATGAGCCTCATGACCAGGTGGGCTTTACACTGGAACATCTTGTAGTACTTCCAGGACAGGGTGTGAGGGTGCTTGATGGAGAAGTGGAGGTGAGGGGTTGGGCTGAGAGACAGAGAGAGAGCGAGAGAGAGAGTGGGGAGAGAGTGAGGGATGAGGAGAGAGAGAGAGAGAGCGAGGGATGAGGAGAGAGAGGGATGAGGGAGTGGGGAGAGAGTGAGGGATGAGGAGAGAGAGAGAGAGAGGGATGAGGAGAGAGAGGGATGAGAGGGAGTGGGGAGAGAGTGAGGGATGAGGAGAGAGAGAGAGAGTGGGGAGAGTGTGAGGGATGAGGAGAGAGTGAGGGATGAGGGGGAGAGAGAGATATGAGGAGAGTGAGGTATGAGGAGAGAGAGAGATGAGAGGGGGGAGAAAGAGAGATGAGAGGGGGGAGAAAGAGAGAGAGAGGAAGAGTAAAATCAGAGAAAAAACTCAACAACAACTCACTCCATCTTCCATCCTCTCTCTCCTCAACTTGCAAACACTAGCAACTTTAAGATAAACTACAACGTGGAGTTATTAGCCAAGTCGTTGACAGGCAGCACACAAACATGCATAAGTGTTTGCATAATGTGTGGATAGCTCTCCAAGCCCACTCCAGGAGAGGAGAGAGAGGTCTGATTTAAGACAAACACTTGAGATGGTGCCAGCGGTTTATTGGGCTAGAATGAATAAACCCACTCTTCACATGTTTCTTCTCTGCAGCAGTGTTTGGAGTTGGAAACCTTCACATCGGCATATATAAGTTTTTAATTAAAACTAGAACACCACATCTTTGTGTGAGATGTAGGTTTGTAGACCAAGACCCTCAAAAACAGTAGCAACAGGAATGTCTATCCTGTCATTTACTTGCTACTTAGGTGGTTTAGACTGGTATAACAGAAAACACATTCATCCTCATTGGAGCCACATATCAAAGAGTGTTGACACTGAAAGTAGGAGGTTATCATGCAATACATCATCCATGTTAAATGATCTTTAAACCAACAGGGAGCTGCTCTCACTTGTCCTTGTCTTTGCCTCCACCGAAGGTTGGGTGTAACAGAACTCCCCCCATCTTCAGCTCATACTCCACCATCTTGTCCAGTTCCTGAGAGAAAACCACACTTCATATAGTAATGTGTTTATTAGGCAGTGTGGGACCACCATAACTTTTCAGACAATTAAAAAAAGTAGAATTCTGCTCCGGTATTAAAATGTTCTGTATTGTTTCCCTGACAACAATAAACGTTGCTGATTGATGTGCTGATGTGTTGTTTTTATGGTAGGGTAGCTAGACGCATTGTTTATGGTAGGGTAGCTAGACGCATTGTTTATGGTAGGGTAGCTAGACGCATTGTTTATGGTAGGGTAGCTAGACGCATTGTTTATGGTAGGGTAGCTAGATGCATTGTTTATGGTAGGGTAGCTAAATGCGTTGTTTATGGTAGGGTAGCTAGATTAGTTGTTTATGGTAGGGTAGCTAAATGAGTAGTTTATGGCAGGGTAGCTAAATGAGTTGTTTATGGTAGGGTAGCCAAATGCGTTGTTTATGGTAGGGTAGCCAAATGCGTTGTTTATGGTAGGGTAGCCAAATGCGTTGTTTATGGTAGGGTAGCCAAATGCGTTGTTTATGGTAGGGTAGCCAAATGCGTTGTTTATGGTAGGGTAGCTAAATGCGTTGTTTATGGTAGGGTAGCTAAATGCGTTGTTTATGGTAGGGTAGCCAAATGCGTTGTTTATGGTAGGGTAGCTAAATGCGTTGTTTATGGTAGGGTAGCTAAATGCGTTGTTTATGGTAGGGTAGCTAAATGCGTTGTTTATGGTAGGGTAGCTAAATGAGTAGTTTATGGCAGGGTAGCTAAATGAGTTGTTTATGGTAGGGTAGCTAAATGAGTTGTTTATGGTAGGGTAGCTAAATGCGTTGTTTATGGTAGGGTAGCCAAATGCGTTGTTTATGGTAGGGTAGCCAAATGCGTTGTTTATGGTAGGGTAGCTAAATGCGTTGTTTATGGTAGGGTAGCTAAATGCGTTGTTTATGGTAGGGTAGCTAAATGCATTGTTTATGGTAGGGTAGCTAAATGAGTTGTTTATGGTAGGGTAGCTAAATGAGTTGTTTATGGTAGGGTAGCTAAATGAGTTGTTTATGGTAGGGTAGCTAGAAGCGATGTTTATGGTATGCTAGCTAGAAGCGATGTTTATGGTATGGTAGCGAGATGCGTTGTTTATGGTATGCTAGCTAGAAGCGTTGTTTATGGTATGCTAGCTAGAAGCGTTGTTTATGGTATGCTAGCTAGAAGCATTGTTTATGGTATGCTAGCTAGAAGCGTTGTTTATGGTATGCTAGCTAGAAGCGTTGTTTCTGGTATGGTAGCGAGATGTGTTGTTTATGGTATGGTAGCTAGATGTGTTGTTTATGGTATGGTAGCTAGATCTGTTTTATTTATATTAAATGTATTGGTAAGTTGCGTAATTAACAAACTTTAGAGTACTTTTTTAGGAGATATTGGTCTGTGCGCAGGCTGTAGGCAGGCTGCGCAAAGCAGCTCAAGATTATTTGATTGACAGTTCTGGTCGCCTAGTGATGGACGTTAGTCCCACTTCAGAAGCATCATTCCTTTACAGACCAGTAAAATGCACGTTCAAATCTCCAGAGGTTTCCTGTCAGCATTTAAAAATCCGTAGTGTAGCCTACCCAATCATGGCGTAACCGAGGCGCTTTCAAGGGGCCACATTCCATTATATCTGAAAAGGGTCATCGATAAAGGCTACCGGTAGCCAACTGTAATTTCATGAGGCAAAAACAAAGAGTAGGCTACCCTGTGCTCGCAAGACTGGCCCGAAGACACCTCTGTATGCCGGCGACGTCGGTGGCTAGGATATTCTACACGAAACAGACCTTAGACTGTACACACACTTGCATCATTAGCAAGGAGTAGGAGCAGGCAGGCCAACGCGAGGGAGAGAGGAGGGGCAGGCAGAAGCATGCTCATATGTTTAGGTAACCTGCATCTCGCAATGTATATATTACCTTTGATCCAGTGGAGGTACTGGTTCACTCCCTACCTCTTAAATCCAGTGGCAGTACTAGTCCTAGCTCTTTAATCCAGAGGCGGTACTGCTCCACTCCCTACATTTTTAATCCAGTGGCGGTACTGGTTCTCTCCCTACCTCTTTAATCCAGTGGAGGTACTGGTTCTCTCCCTACCTCTTTAATCCAGTGGAGGTACTGGTTCACTCCCTACCTCTTTAATCCAGTGGAGGTACTGGTTCACTCCCTACCTCTTTAATCCAGTGGTGGTACTGGTCAAAGCTCTTTAATCCAGAGGCGGTGCTGGTCCACTCCCTACATCTTTAATCCAGTGGCGGTACTGGTTCTCTCCCTACCTCTTTTGTCCAGCGGCAGTACTGGTTCACTCCATACCTCTTTGATCCAGTGGCGGTACTGGTTCACTCCAAAGGTCTTCTTCAGGTACCCCAGATCCCCATCTCACCCTACAGACATAGCAAGTACGGCCAGTAGCAATCCAGCCGCAGTGAGGCACCCCAGCTCATCGGGCTACCAGCCACTCAGGTAGCAACAGCCAGGTGCAGGTAGGCAACCAGCCAGGCACAGTAGCAACCAGCAGCACAGTTGGAGGCAACACCAGACAACAGGAGGCAACCAGCCAGACAACAGTGAGGCAACCAGCCAGACAACAGTGAGGCAACCAGCCAGGCAACAGGGAGGCAACCAGCCAGCAACAGAAGGAGGCAACCAGCCAGGCAACAGTTGGAGGCAACCAGCCAGACAACAGTTGGAGGCAACCAGCCAGACAACAGTTGGAGGCAACCAGCCAGACAACAGTTGGAGGCAACCAGCCAGCAACAGTTGAGGCAACCAGCCAGACAACAGTGAGGCAACCAGCCAGGCAACAGTTGGAGGCAACCAGCCAGACAACAGTTGGAGGCAACCAGCCAGACAACAGTTGGAGGCAACCAGCCAGACAACAGTTGGAGGCAACCAGCCAGGCAAGAGTTGAGGCAACCAGCCAGGCAACAGGTGAGGCAACCAGCCAGGCAACAGGTGAGGCAACCAGCCAGGCAACAGGTGAGGCAACCAGCCAGGCAACAGTTGGAGGCAACCAGCCAGACAACAGAAGGAGGCAACCAGCCAGGCAACAGTTGAGGCAACCAGCCAGACAACAGTTGGAGGCAACCAGCCAGACAACAGAAGGAGGCAACCAGCCAGGCAACAGTTGAGGCAACCAGCCAGGCAACAGGTGAGGCAACCAGCCAGGCAACAGGTGAGGCAACCAGCCAGGCAACAGGTGAGGCAACCAGCCAGACAGCAGGTGAGGCAACCAACCAGGCAACAGGTAAGGCAACCAGCCAGACAACAGGTAAGGCAACCAGCCAGACAACAGGTAAGGCAACCAGCCAGACAACAGGTAAGGCAACCAGCAAGACAACAGGTAAGGCAACCAGCCAGACAACAGGTAAGGCAACCAGCCAGACAATAGGTAAGGCAACCAGCCAGACAACAGGTAAGGCAACCAGCCAGACAACAGGTAAGGCAACCAGCCAGACAACAGGTAAGGCAACCAGCCAGACAACAGGTAAGGCAACCAGCCAGACAATAGGTAAGGCAACCAGCCAGACAATAGGTAAGGCAACCAGCCAGACAACAGGTAAGGCAACCAGCAAGACAACAGGTAAGGCAACCAGCCAGACAACAGGTAAGGCAACCAGCCAGACAACAGGTAAGGCAACCAGCCAGACAATAGGTAAGGCAACCAGCCAGACAACAGGTAAGGCAACCAGACAGGCAACATATAAGGAAATGTTGTTCAGGACATAACAACAGTTTGTAAGCTGATCTTGTACAGGACATAACAACAGTTTGTAAGCTGATCTTGTTCAGGACATAACAACAGTTTGTAAGCTGATCTTGTACAGGACATAACAACAGTTTGTAAGCTGATCTTGTACAGGACATAACAGTTTGTAAGTTTACAGGACATAACAGTTTGTAAGCTGATCTTGTACAGGACATAACAACAGTTTGTAAGCTGATCTTGTACAGGACATAACAGTTTGTAAGCTGATCTTGTACAGGACATAACAACAGTTTGTAAGCTGATCTTGTACAGGACATAACAACAGTTTGTAAGCTGATCTTGTACAGGACATAACAACAGTTTGTAAGCTGATCTTGTACAGGACATAACAACAGTTTGTAAGCTGATCTTGTACAGGACATAACAACAGTTTGTAAGCTGATCTTGTACAGGACATAACAACAGTTTGTATAAAAAGCAGGCATGCTGGCAGAACACCTGAATGTAATGACGTTTAACCAGTTTGGCACACGTTTACTAACTTACCATTTATTGCACATAAAAAAAGAAACAAGATACTTTATTCAACCTAGGTGGTTTTTAATTCTGAGAGTAATTTAATGAATACTGGCTGTAGTAGGTGGTTTTTAATTCTGAGAGTAATTTAATGAATACTGGCCGTAGCTTCATGAAGTGACCCAACTAAGAGATGAAATCATGTGTAAAGCTGTAACACACAGAAAGTGCTAAACCTCTACAAGCTGAACATGAGCTCAGTTTCATAAAACAAGCTGACTTCAATTACAGGCTTGAACAGAAATTAAACCACACAATTAATTGCAAGCAGGTGACGGGTCTTCATATCAAAAGAGAAATGTCTGTTTGATTTCTCTGTGCTCTTACACAACTGTGGCTTATACAAGCCAAATAAATAAGAGTAAGTCAAGCTTCCACATCTGACTTAGTTTTAAACACTTAATAAGACAGGGGGGTCCATTGTTTGCAGTGATCCTTTGAAGCCGTCGTGAAACCTCAGCCTCCCCAACTGACAACAGCCGCACTATTGCCAAGGGCCCCACACACACACACACACACACCTTGGCTGTAGAAACGTTGCCAAACACTAATGCACAGATTTATCATGCTGAGATTCTCTCAGCTAGGCCAAAGCTTTGCTCAATTTCTGCCTGGTAATAAATATGATGACAAAATATAATTTCAATAATCTCTCTGTACTCCAAGGTAGAAATCTGGATAGGAACCCACAGTTACCACTCTGTTCTTATGAAACAACAAATCAAAATACCACCGACAAGCTCCAAACCACCAACAACATCCAAACCACTGACAATCTCTAAACCACTGACAACCTCCAAGGTTGAACCAGGAGTGATTTTCACGTTTGACGTGTGTGAATGTGTGTGTGTGTGTGTGAATGTGTGTGAGTGTGTGTGAATGTGTGTGAGTGTGTGGTGAATGTGTGTGAGTGAATGTGAGTGAGTATGTGTGTGTGAGTGAGTGTGTGTGTGTGTGTAAATGTGTGTGTGAGTGAATGTGTGTGTGTGTGTGTAAATGTGTGTGTGAGTGAATGTATGTGAGTGTGTGTGTGTGTAAATGTGTGTAAATGTGTGTGTGGTCTCTGTAGATCTCTCCACAACTCCACTATATTCTGTCTGGTATTACTCAGTCCACTACTCACCATGACATCCTGGAGATGAAGCAGCCAAAGAACTGCTGTGCCAGGGCCTGAGCTAAACACCGTCTGGTCAGGGGGGTCTGGTCTATGATCATGGCACTGTGCAGCAGATTAGTACTGAGGAGAGAGAGGAAGAGAGAGAATGGGCGGAGAGAGGGGAGAGAGAGAGGGGAGAGTAAAGAGAGAGAGGAGAGAGGGCAGAGGAGAGGAAGAGAGAGAATGGGCGGAGAGAGGGGAGAGAGAGGGGAGAGAGAGAGGGCAGAGAGAGAGGGGGGAGAGTAAAGAGAGAGGTAAAGTTTGACTTGTGCCAAAACAACTCAGCATTATGAAAACTGAAAGAGAGAAATGAACGGATGAGGAGAGCTGTTCTTTGGGAAACTGCAAAAGCTCCTGAGGTGCATGTCTTATCTAAACAGCATCAATGTTGACGTAATAAATCTGAATTTAATTGACCTACCAATTTAGGTATTTTCCATGACAAACGTATGGAAAATGGAAATGTTAAAACAAACAGCAAGAAGTTTCCACAATACAATGTGATATTTAAATGTTGTGAAACATTGTTCTAAACTAAAATGTGCAAAGCCACAAAAGAACGGTATTAGGACTAGACAAGTCAGACTGTAGCCACCTGAAGATGCTCATAGAAGCGTACGAAGACACCTGGACGTAGGCCTCGTCCACAAACACAGTCTTGAAGCAGGAGTAGGGGTATCGACAGGTCAGGATCTCCTCGTAGAACTCAAAGATCTCATGCAGGTACGACATGGAGTGTTTCAACAGGGGCAGGAGCTGGGGCAAACAGAAGTGGGTCACCTGGAAAAATAAAAATAAAACTATATTTAAAGTGTCAGTACAGCAACAGTACAGAAGTTCCCTCTAGGAAAAATACACTTATTCTGTTCTGTTGTATTCTATTCTATCAAAAGTATATTTGAAGAGAACCATCTTCGACAATATGTCAACATAGCACATTGGGTTCTTAAGACTGATTCACAATAACAGTCATACTCCACCTAGTGGTCGTAGGTGGAAAGGAAACCTGCTTAAATATACACTGAGTGGACAAAACATTAGGAACACCTGCTCTTTCCATGACAGACTGACCAGGTGAATCCAGGTGAAAGCTATGATCTCTTATTGATGTCACTTGTTCAATCCACTTCAAATCAGTGTAGATGAAGGGGAGGAGACAGGTTAAAAAATGATTTTTAAGCCTTGAGACAATTGTATGTGCCATTCAGAGGGTGAATGGGCCAGACAAAATATTTAAGTGTCTTTGAACAGGGTAAGGTAGTAGGTGCCAGGCGCACCGGTTTGTGTCAAGAACTGCAACGCTGCTGGGTTTTTCACGCTCAACAGTTTCCTGTGTGTATCAAGAATGGTCCATCACCCAAAGGACATCCAGCCAACTTGACACAACTGTGGGAAGCATTGGAGTCAACATGGGCCAGCATCCTTGTGGAACGCTTTCGACACCTTGTAGAGTCCATGCCCCGACGAAGGTGTTCCTAACGTTTTGTACACTCAGTGTATATGTCAACATATTTTACATTACATGGTTGCCTGCCTCTACTCTCTCTGGCAGCCTTTCTTAAAGTATGGGTCGCGACCCGGTTAACGGTGGGTCGCAACGTGTCAGAGTAAATGTATAATTATTTAATTGATTACTGGAATTGATTTGGCCAAGTGCAACTGCGCTCACTGATCAGTGTGCTGTGCTCTCTGCTTAGCAGCGGTCTCAGATCAGTTTGGCAGCTGTGCGAGTGGGAGACGCCCGTGTGCTTCGCTGTTTACCAGATATTTTTTTCTGCAGTTTTCCTGTAGATCACTCCGCGTCCCACACGCTGCAGCGTTGTCGTTCAGCAGCAGATGATGCGCTGTCAGCCACTGACTTGTCATTCCCACTCGCCATCACTTACCACTGTCATCGAATTGACTCAAACTAGCCACAAGTTCTGACTGAGCTCAATCGTCATGAAACGCAAACACAGCGATTAGTTTCTCTCTCTTGGTTTCATACAAATGTTGAGAAATAAGGAGGAGTGCCCACAATGTGTTTTGTGCGGGAAGTGCTTAGTAACGAGTCTCTCAAAACAAACTACAGTGAGGGAAAAAAGTATTTGATCCCCTGCTGATTTTGTAAGTTTGCCCACTGACAAAGAAATGATCAGTCTATAATTTTTAACGGTAGGTTTATTTGAACAGTGAGAGTCAGAATAACAACAAAAAAAATCCAGAAAAACGCATGTCAAAAATGTTATAAATTGATTTGCATTTTAATGAGGGAAATAAGTATTCTGCAAAACATAACTTAGTACTTGGTGGCAAAACCCTTGTTGGCAATCACAGAGGTCAGAAGTTTCTTGTAGTTGGCCACCAGGTTTGCACACATCTCAGGAGGGATTTTGTCCCACTCCTCTTTGCAGATCTTCTCCAAGTCATTAAGGTTTCGAGGCTGACGTTTGGCAACTCAAACCTTCAGCTCCCTCCACAGATTTTCTATGGGATTAAGGTCTGGAGACTGGCTAGGCCACTCCAGGACCTTAATGTGCTTCTTCTTGAGCCACTCCTTTGTTGCCTTGGCCGTGTGTTTTGGGTCATTGTCATGCTGGAATACCCATCCACGACCCATTTTCAATGCCCTGGCTGAGGGATGGAGGTTCTCACCCAAGATTTGACGGTACATGGCCCCGTCCATCGTCCCTTTGATGCGGTGAAGTTGTCCTGTCCCGTTAGCAGAAAAACACTCCCAAAGCATAATGTTTCCACCTCCATGTTTGACGGTGGGGATGGTGTTCTTGGGGTCATAGGCAGCATTCCTCCTCCTCCAAACACGGCGAGTTGAGTTGATGCCAAAGAGCTCCATTTTGGTCTCATCTGACCACAACACTTTCACCCAGTTCTCCTCTGAATCATTCAGATGTTCATTGGCAAACTTTAGACGGGCATGTATATGTGCTTTCTTGAACAGGGGGACCTTGCGGGCGCTGCAGGATTTCAGTCGTTCACGGTATGGTGTGTTATCAATTATTTTCTTGGTGACTATGGTCCCAGCTGCCTTGAGATAATTGACAAGATCTTCCCGTGTTGTTCTGGGCTGATTCCTCACCGTTCTCATGATCATTGCAACTCCACGAGGTGAGATCTTGCATGGAGCCTCAGGCCGAGGGAGATTGACAGTTCTTTTGTGTTTCTTCCATTTGTGAATAATCACACCAACTGTTGTCACCTTCTCACCAAGCTGCTTGGCGATGGTCTTGTAGCCCATTCCAGCCTTGTGTAGGTCTACAATCTTGTCCCTGACATCCTTGGAGAGCTCTTTGGTCTTGGCCATGGTGGAGAGTTTGGAATCTGATTGATTGATTGCTTCTGTGGACAGGTGTCTTTTATACAGGTAACAAGCTGAGATTAGGAGCACTCCCTTTAAGAATGTGCTCCTAATCTCAGCTCGTTACCTATATAAAAGACACCTGGGAGCCAGAAATCTTTCTGATTGAGAGGGGGTCAAATACTTATTTCCCTCATTAAAATGCTAATCAATTTATAACATTTTTGACATGCGTTTTTCTGGATTTGTTTGTTGTTATCCTGTCTCTCACTGTTCAAATAAACCTACCATTAAAAGTATAGACTGATCATTTCTTTGTCAGTTGGCAAACGTACAAAATCAGCAGGGGATCAAATACTTTTTTCCCTCACTGTAATTAATAAAACGACACGTCCTGACCAAACATCCACAGCATGACGGTAAACCCAGGGAGTTCTTTCAGAACAGGGCACAATGCTTCAGGAAACTGTGCTTCGACAGTGGAAAAGTAAGTCAGCTAGCAAGACATTGTTGTCATTTTATAACAGGTGATGATAAGCAGAAATAAGGGAGTACTATCTCTCATAGTAGTAGATGTGAGTTTCTCTTTCAAACAATCCCCTGGCCTTGTACACAGCTAATAGCTAACGTTAGCCAAAGCAAGCTAGCTAGCTACTGATAGCGCAACCCTAAGTAACAGTAGAGAAAATATTTAAAATGATCAGACCTCCTGTACATCTTAATGTAGAAATTATTGTTGAAAACAAGTCTAGATCGGAACTGTTGCTGTTCAAATACAAGTCCAAAATTTTTATTCTGAACTGGAATAAACTGATTGAAGCAAGGTGTTTTTTGAGGCAAACACTCACACAGTTCTGGGTTGCTCATCTACAGCAGGAAGCAGTAGATGTTCTGATCCAGTTTGGCACCACATACCAATGCCAGTCAGGGTTCTCAACTCTGGCGTACTTAAAAAACAAGTACGGAAACAGACTCAACGCTGAGCTTGACCTCCGTGTTGCACTGTCAACAACTGAGCTCAGAATAGACATGCTTGTAGAAAACTTCAACCTGTGTGATTTGATCAATCAGTTTATTCCAGTTCAGAATAAAAAATATTGATTGTATTTTAACAGCAACAGATCCAACGTAGACTTTTTTCAACAATACTTTCTACAGTAATATGTACAGTAGGCCTGATCATCTTTCATCCCTACTGTAACTTAAGGTTGCACTATCAAAAACTCAGCCTGTGTTCTGTTACACATCTGTGTGATGTGATCAGTTTATTCCAGTTCAGAATGAAAATGATTTCTTGCATTTTAACAGCAACAGTTCCAACCTAGACATATATGTAAGGGTGTTTTTAAAGGGGGGAAAATAAACATGAACAGCTATTTATTTATATGGGTATTTCATTGTTATTTGTTTTTGTCTATATTGCATTTGTTTTAGGCATAAGGGCAATGAAATGTACCAATATTTACATATAGTTGCATATTTTCATAAGCTTGGGTCCCAGGAAAACACAGAATTTCTAATTTGGGTCCCAGGCTAAATAAGTTTAAGAACCCCTACTCTACGGGATTCTACTAAATACATTCTCCTTACAGAGCACACTACTCTATGGGCTTCTACTAAATACATTCTCCTTACAGAGCACACTACTCTATGGGCTTCTACTAAATACATTCTCCTTACAGAGCACACTACTCTATGGGCTTCTACTAAATACATTCTCCTTTCAGAACACACTACTCTATGGGCTTCTACTAAATACATTCTCCTTACAGAGCACACTACTCTATGGGCTTCTACTAAATACATTCTCCTTTCAGAACACACTACTCTATGGGCTTCTACTAAATACATTCTCCTTACAGAGCACACTACTCTATGGGCTTATACTAAACACATTCTCCTTCCAGAACACATTGTGATTGGTAATGCTGGATTTCTATGCAATGCTTTTCCACACACAGTACCTCATGCATGTAGGGGTCAACCAGGATCTCAAAGGGCCCGACAGACAGTGAGATGTTGGGGGCCGCGGTGGGGATGGGGAGGACATAGTGGAAGGTCTTCTTCCTCATGTCATGGGTGTAGACAGTCTCTACCAAGTCCCCACAGGACACAGCCACCATAGAGGCATCCACTGTGAACTCCAGCTTCCAGGTGCACAGCTCAGAGTACGAGTCCACACAGGGGAACCAGAACCTGGGAGAGGAAGACAGGTGGACAACAGTGTAGGTAGTCAAGTAGCAAGGAGGGATGAGGCTTGTGATAACATATCTGATCGTATTATATGAAAGTAAGTAAGTGAATATGAGAGAGAGAGAGAGAGAGAGAGAGAGAGAGAGAGAGAGAGAGAGAGAGAGAGAGAGAGAGAGAGAGAGAGAGAGAGCGAGAGAGAGCGAGAGAGAGAGAGACTAGGCCAGCCTAGACAGCACAGTGAATAAATGCCTCAATATGACATCCATCAATGTCTCCCTCCTCACCTTGTGGAGTTCTGGTATCCGAAGGAGAAGACGTGTGCTCCTCTCTCAGCCATGCTCCCCTCTACGTCAGGCACCACAAAGTGAAGGCCTCCTTTAGGCTGGTCTAGAGAGAACTCTATGTACACCTTCAGCACATTCATCTCTGGAGACAAGAAATAGAAACAGTCAATTATTAGAGGGCAGTAAGTTAAATTGTACATAAACAATACTTTAAGCTTCCGATGCTATGCATTAAGGTAAGAGCATTGCAGAACATTAGCCTGGTCCCAGGTGTGTTTGTGCCATATAAACAGATCTGGGACCAGCCAGGCTATCAGAATATGCCTTGAACCTTTATATTCAAACTACAGACCCAAGAACCACTGTCAGATGCAACAGAGGTCAGTCATTCACCGAAGGTCATAATGTAGATTAACCCAATTTAGAGACAACATTTCACTTGAACAAGATGAAGTTCTGTATTACCGTCTCCTTGCTTCCACAGCTCAGAGGGCACTTTGATGACCAGTTCCCCGTGTCCTGCGTCTGGGTCCACAGCACTGACTGCTGCTGTGTAGGCACTGGAGAAATAGTTCAGGTTCCTCCTGCAAGGGACAGGGCAGAGAGAGGAAGAGGTGAAAAGTTACTGCAAGTAGCTGTGTAATACAGGGGTGAATCTCAAGTCTTCTCCTTGATTCTTCCTGTCCTCTTCCCTCGACTTTACATACATTTAGGTAATTTAGCAGACACTCTTATCCAGAGCATCTATCTTACTGTGCATTCAACTAAGGTAGATAAAACAACCACATATCTTAGTCATTGCTTCTTCTGAAAACATCAGAAAGAAGCAAGGAGAGCATTGGAGGATAAGATGAACTGCTGTTTTCTGTTTCCTTCATGGTGAGTTATGACCTCCCAAGTTCAACACATGAATACTAGACCATGTGTGTATGAGGACAACACTTACTGCTTGGACTCATGGTGGCAGACCTCTAGAGTAGGGTCATTGTAAATGAATGGTGCTTCTAGGTCGTTGACTCTGACCCTGTAGATCCTGCACTGCTTGCTGTTGAGCTTGATCCGGTTCAGGTTGACCACAGTTGGAAAGATGGTCAGCTCCACATAGCCCTGTCAAATAGAGGGGTGTGTCAGTTGACAAGGATGAGAAACTAGACTGTGGTTCTACATGGCCAAATTCTGCTGTTGTTTTCAATGTCTCTTAGTAGAAATATGTTTGGTTCTTAGACATTCGCCTAGGTTCTACAGATACAACCGGGATTTAGCCTACGGCTAGGTTCTATAGATACAACAACCGAGATTTATCCTACGGCTAGGTTCTACAGATACAACAACCGAGATTTAGCCTACGGCTAGGTTCTACAGATACAACAACCGAGATTTAACCAAAGTGATGGTGATGAGAAACAGCATTTTATTGAGGTACTTGCGGGGGAACTATAGTTATTGAGTATATTTACTACGATATACTTACAATCACAGACTTTCTTTGGAAGTTGATGTTGTTGATGCAGACAACCTGGTGAGTCGTGTAGGAATAAACATGACATATAACAGGTTAACACATTGAGATATAACTTAGCTACAGTATTATATCATGTGCCAAGTAATAACTTACGGACAAACGTGTGTGCACAGCTAACTAAGCCAAAGGTAATAGCAAATACTTATAATTTAAAAGGCCGCGGGCTCTCAAATCCCTTGTCCTTCTTCCTGTTCATCTTGATTTCATGCATTGATACGGTAAATGAATTTGATCATGTTCGTGAACTACAGGTTTGAGGCAATGGTCGTGTGGATTGGAAAGTTCTTCCTGTATCCACAAAAAAAGCACCAGTGATGCTCGAGCGTTTCCACGAATTAAATGTTGCAAGACAAGTGTAATAATTTAAGTGACTATCTTGCTAGCTATATTTCCAGTCCTAATAAATCCCAAGGCAATGAGTTCCTGCTCAGTGAATGTGACGATTTAGTTAGCTAGTCAGTTGGCTAGTGCTAACGTTAGCTAGATAACAGCTAACACAACACTTCCAGACATTCTTCCCCGCCAGCTGTCTGTGCAATGCTATCAGTGTCTCATACGCTTTTTCCAGACATGCACGCCACCAAAGACTAACTTTCAGCCTTGCAAGAATCAATTCGGCTTCAAATGAGCAATTTTGTCAGTGTTGAGCTCCAAAACCATTAAATTATATCCTCTCCGTCCGACTGCTCAAAGTAATTATTCTTCTGTGATTTTTAAATGGCTGTTGACAACCAAAAGGTGCATTACCGCCACCAACTGGACTGGAGTGTAAATCCACTACACTTTACTGATCGAAGTGTTGTGATCATTGAGCGGTCGTCACTAGTTACCAAATCCACAAAATCGTAAACCCCGCCCATTTCGACAATTTACCTTCTTAAAATTTGATTTTAAACCCAACCCTAACCTAAACCACACTCCTAACCTTATACCTAACCCTAACCTTAAATTAAGATCAAACATAAAAGGTTTTTAACGATATATTTTAACGATGAATTTTAACGATATAGCCGTTTTACACTTTGTGGCTGTACTATCTAGTGGAAACCGGTTGTGATTCGGTCCGTGCTATCTGGGGTCCCTCGGACTCCCTACCCCATTGAACTTGACATTTAAAATGGTTAAGGTAAGGGTTTTTGACTTTTTTAACATTAAATAGATGTGGGAATGGATGGCAAAATGGGGTTTTGGATGTCACATCCATGCCTGTGCTTAACATAAATGTAGTCATGGACCGCCAATATGGAAGTCCAATTTCAAAGTGTACATGCTGTTTTTGCCTCTAGGGGGCGCTCCACCCAGTCCTCCAGCATATAGTAAGTGTAGGGATGGATTTAGTAAGGGTCCAATGCCATATCTAATCTCCGATTGGCCGATACGTCTGGGGGGGCGTTTCTGCGGGCGTGTCCTATGCAGTTTCTGGACCTATAAAGGGCCAAGATCCAAGTCTAATTTTTCATTGTTATAATAATTATAATATATAATACGAGATATAAATATAATATAATTAAATGCCTTAGCAGACGCTTTCTCCAAGCGACCAGTATGCGTGCATTTTTTTGGTATGGCGTATGGTCCGGGATCGAACCCACTACCTTGGCGTTAAGGCCGGCTCTATAGCTGAACTAACAGAAAACACCTTGCCTGTAAAGTGTTGGGGGGGGGGGTCTATGCCGATTTTGACTCATAATGCTAAGGCCATCTCTAAAAAGCCACAAAATATAAACCATACGCACAAAAGTGGTCCATGTTCCTACTAAAGTCCCAGAAAGTCCCATCGAAAAAATTTTGCGTCACAATTTGTCAGCACCACACTGTTAACCTGTAGTGAGCATTTCTCCTTTGCCAAGATAATCTATTCACCTGACAGGTGTGGCATATCAAGAAGCTGATAAAACAGCATGATCATTACACAGGTGCACCTTGTGCTGGGGACAATAATAGGTCACTCTAAAATGTGCAGTTTTATCACAAAACACAATGCCACAGATGTCTCAAGTTCTGAGGGAGCGTGCAATTGGCATGCTGATTGCAGGAATGTCCACCAGAGCTGTCGTTTTAGAGAATTTGGCAGTACGTCCAACCGGCCTCACAACCGCAGACCACGTGTAACCACACCAGCCCAGGACCTCCACATCTGGCTTCTTCACCTGCGTGGTCGTCTGGGGGGGTGGGTTGCTTAGGAGTATTTCTGTCTGTAATAAAGCCCATTCTGATTGGCTGGGCCTTGCTCCACAATGGGTAGGACTATGCCCTCCCAGGCCCACCCATGAAATCCATAGATTAGGGCCTAATATATTTCTATTGACTGATTGCCTTCTATGAACTGTAACTCAGTAAAATCTTTGAAATTGTTGCATGTTCCCTTTATATTTCTGTTCAGTATAATTTTGCCAACGAAATTGTCAGAATGAACTGGCTTAGATTAATAAAGAGGCCTACAATAATAGGCGATATTGGGTCCTGGACTTCCTGACGGGCCGCCCCCAGGTGGTGAAGGTAGGAAACATCTCCACTTCACTGATCCTCAACACTGGGGCCCCACAAGGATTTGTGCTCAGCCCCCTCCTGTACTCCCTGTTCACCTATGACTGCGTAGCCATGCACGCCTCCCAACTCAATCAACAAGTTTGCAGACGACACAACAGTAGTAGGCTTGATTACCAACAACGATGAGACAGCCTACAGGGAGGAGGTGAGGTATCTCGGAGTGTGGTGCCAGGACAATAACCTCTCACTCAACGTCAACAAAACAAAGGAGATGATCGTGGACTTCAGGAAACAGCAGAGGGAGTACCCCCCTATCCACATCGACGGGACAGCAGTGGAGAAGGAGGAAAGTTTTAAGTTCCTCGGCATACATATCACTGACAAACTAAAATGGTCCACCCACACAGACAGCGTGGTGAAGAAGGCGCAACAGCGTCTCTTCAACCTCAGGAGGCTGAAGAAATTTGGCCTGTCACCTAAAACCCTCAAAAACGTTTACAGATGCACAATTGAGAGCATCATGTCGGGCTGTATCACCACCTGGTACGGCAACTGCACCGCCCACAACCGCAGGTCTCTCCAGAGGGTGGTGCGGTCTGCACAACGCATCACCGGGGGCAAACTAACTGCCCTCCGGGACACCTACAGCACCCGATGTCACAGGAAGGCCAAAAAGATAATCAAGGACAATTACCACCCAAGCCACTGCCTGTTCACCCTGCTATCATCCAGAAGACGAGTTCAGTACAGGTGCATCAAAGCTGGGACTGAGAGACTGAAAAACAGCTTCTATCTCAAGGCCATCAGACTGTTAAACAGCCATCACTAGCACAGAGAGGCTGCTGCCTACATACAGACTTGAAAATCACTGGCCATTTTAATAAATGGAACACTAGTCACTTTAATAATGCCACTTTAATAATGTTTACATATCTTGCATTACCCATCTCAAATGTACAGTTGAAGTCGGAAGTTTACATACACTTAGGTTGGAGTCATTAAAACTCGTTTTTCAACCACTCCACAAATTTCTTGTTTAACAAACTATAGTTTTGGCAGGTCAGTTAGGACATCTACTTTGTGCATGACACAAGTAATTTTTCCAACAATTGTTTACAGACAGATTATTTAATTTATAATTCACTGTATCACAATTCCAGTGGGTCAGAAGTTTACATACACTAAGTTGACTGTGCCTTTAAACAGCTTGGAAAATTCCAGAAAATGATGTTATGGCTTTAGAAGCTTCTGATAGGATAATTGACATCATTTGAGTCAATTGGAGGTGTACCTGTGGATGTATTTCAAGGCCTACCTTCAAACTCAGTGCCTCTTTGCTTGACATCATGGGAAAATCAAAAGAAACCAGCCAATACCTCAGAAAAAAATGGTAGACCTCCACAAGTCTGGTTCTTCCTTGGGAGCAATTTCCAAACGCCTGAAGGTACCACGTTCATCTGTACAAACAATAGTACGCAAGTATAAACACCATGGGACCACACAGCATGTCATGCCGCTCAGGAAGGAGACGCGTTCTGTTTCCTAGAGATTAACGTACTTTGGTGCGAGAAGTGCAAATCAATCCCAGAACAACAGCAAAGGACCTTGTGAAGATGCTGGAGGAAACAGGTACAAAAGTATCTATATCCACAGTAAATAGAGTCCTATATCGACATAACCTGAAAGGCCGCTCAGCAAGGAAGAAGCCACTGCTCCAAAATCACCATAAAAAAGCCAGACTACGGTTTGCAACTGCACATGGGGACAAAGATCGTACTTTTTGGAGAAATGTCCTCTGGTCTGATGAAACAAAAATAGAACTGTTTGGCCATAATGACCATTGTTATGTTTGGAGGAAAAATGGTGATGCTTGCAAGCTGAAGAACACCATCCCAACCGTGAAGCACAGGGGTGGCAGCATCATGCTGTGGGGGTGCTTTGCTGCAGGAGGGACCGGTGCACTTGACAAAATAGATGGCATCATGAGGAAGGAAAATTATGTGGATATCTTGAAGCAACATCTCAAGACATCAGTCAGAAAGTTAAAGCTTGGTCGCAAATGGGTCTTCCAAATGGACAATGACCCCAAGCATACTTCCAAAGTTGTGGCAAAATGGCTTAAGGACAACAAAGTCAAGGTATTGGAGTGGCCATCACAAAGCCCTGACCTCAATCCTATAGAAAATGCGTGGGCAGAACTGAAAGTGTGTACGAGCAAGGAGGCCTACAAACCAGACTCAGTTACACCAGCTCTTTCAGGAGGAATGGGCCAAAATTCACCCAACGTATTGTGGGAAGCTTGTGGAAGGCTACCCAAAACGTTTGACCAAAGTTAAACAATTTAAAAGGCAATATGTGTATGTAAACTTCCGACTTCAACTGTATTCTATACTATCTATTGGATCTTAGCCTATGCCACTCTGATAATGACATTGCTCATCCATATATTTATATATTCATATTCCTTTACTTAGATTTGTGTGTTTTAGGTTTTTGTTGTGGAAATGTTAGATATTACTTGCTAGATATTGCTGCACTGTCAGAACTAGAAGCACAAGCATTTCACTACACTCGCAATAACATCTGCTAACCATGTGTGTGTGACCAATACATTTGATTTGACTGTGAGTAGTCCCAGTAAATGCCATCTTGGATGCTGTCTCCAGTTCTTTATAGCTCAATGGTGATTCCCCCTTCAGGATTGTCACTAGCTACCACAGCCACAAAGTCAAAATTGACTGGATCGTAAAAATTCATGAAAACAAACATTTGCTTGAAAAATGTTTTGCTTTTTGTTTATATTTTATCCTAACCTCGTTTGCAACAGTAAGATATTGGGTTGGATAATTATAGTTTGAAAGCCTTTTGGTCACTGCCGGTCTACCTCTTGCCACTAGAGGTCACTAAAGGACCATATTGTGGCTGTTGTCTGATGACCAAAACAAAACATACAGAGGTGAGAGGGAAAAAAACACAAAGTATGTAATAATTACAAAACATTCGATTTTTATTACAACATCTTAACAAATACAATACACTGATTCAAAACAACTTTACTCGTCAATTAAGATATCTAAGCGTCTTCATGTTGCCACTGGTCTTCTTGAATTGAAGACTTTTACTCCATTTTGCGTGGACGAACGAGCGTATTTGGTGAGAAGAGCTCCAGTCGTTTGCTTTTCTCCACACAAGTCCCTGTAGGAAAATAAATTATCAAGGATCAATCATTGTTAACACATTACAGAGAATCGTCACTCAGTATGAGGGTAAACCAAGCTTTCCAGATAAAGCAAGAAAGTTGGACCAACACATTTGAGTCATTTAGCAGACGCTCTTATCCAGAGCGACTTACAGTTAGTGAGTGCATACATTTTCATACTGGCCCCCCCGTGGGAAACGAACCCATAACCCTGGCGTTGCAAGCGCCATGCTCTACCAACTGAGCTACAGGGGACACCACAAACATCTGGCACACAAGTCTAAATCTCTAATAGTAATTATTGTACAGTACAGAGACAACTGTCATTATGATGCTCAGTTGTACTCACTGTATGTAAGGGGTGATGTCCTCCTCGGTCCACTTCTCTCTCATGGTGAAGAGATGGGTGAATCTCTCCAGTGTGTCCTCGGGAAGATCTTCCACTCTCAGCAGAGATATGGTCTCTGGTTTGGTGCTGCGGTCCACAAGGGCTAGACTCTGTTTTGAAACCCATAACAATCTGGTCATATTCCACCTGGATAATCGTGTAATCATGTCTGCCAACAACCATCACGTCTTTAAATGTGTAATTACCATATTGCTGCAGCTAAAATGAAGCTTGCTGTAATGCCGAAAACGTAAACATGCATTATGACATCATTTGCAGTAGAATCTGAGAATAGTCTAGTCCAGATGTAAAAAAAAAAAAAAAAAAGTGTGTCTGTTAAAGACATGCTCTGGAACTTTGGTGACTAGCAAGTCTTTTTTTAAAACCTCCTGATTTGGACTGGATGTGTCAATGTGTAGTTCATACATGCACAATCTATGAGCAGAAAAACTACCTTACCTCAATTAGCCACAGAATCCCTAGTTTGAAAGCAACTGTTTTCTGGAAGCTGTGCGGCGCCATTTTCCCTACATTTTCTGGACTAGGTTTAATCTGTGTCTGGAAAACTGGCCCATCCGTCTGCGCTGCCAGTCTTGCCCCCCCTCCTCACCTTCAGCTGGTCCAACCTGGTGCCCATGCCCTCTGGGACACTCTGCTGCCACACCTCCTGGAACTCTGACAGGTTGAACTTTACCGCGTTCTGCAGCAGCATCTGAGCAGTGGCTCTGCACACCTTGTCCTCGTTCAGCGCAAAGAACACCTCATCTGAAAAATATGACATTTGCGTTTATTATCAGTGAAATAGCTGCGAAGAGCTGAAATATTGCATGAGGGAACAGGTAGTTGGGCTGTGTCACTCTACAGCACACCAAAGCATTAAAAACAGAAAACGGACAATAGACAGTAGTTTCTTACTTACCGCCGTCTGTGTAGCGCCTTCCATAACAGTTCAAGCTATGCTCTATCATCTCCCTGGGCAGGAGAAGGGGTTTGGGTGAGTAAAGAAATACATGTATTCCCCACCCCACATACATGCACACTTTAATGTTTTCATGATGATTACATGCAAAAGAACAGAGCTTCCGAACACGTCGGTTCGATGCACATTTCAGATATGCGTTGTGCTGAGCCTTCAGTCAGATGTGGCCTTTGACAGAGCTTGTAACATGATGACTACCTACCTACTAAAGTATTACTAACAAACTACCCTCCACTTGACCATGTTGTTACCCATTTCTTTCAATGCTGTAATGTTGACTAACTGCACCTACTGTGGCTCCAGACATCCTAACTCCTTCAGACTGACGCTGAGAGGGACTTTACTGAAGGACCAGGACTCCGAGTCCACCAGCTGAGTGACATGACCCAGTAACTTCATCTCATAGTCAAAATCCAACAGCCTCCAGTAGCCTGGAGTACACAAGAGGGGAATATGTGAAAGAGCACAGGACAAACAAACACATCATCATACATGTGGATACACCAAGGCCAGCATGTTCTTTAATGAATAGACACAAACCACATACAGTAGATCACATATCTAAATGGAAATTGTGAGAAAATAAACATTTGGAAGAGCTGAGAATCATTTTTACCGTTGACCTCACAGGCATGAATAGTCTGCAGTTGGGTCTCCAGTTCTTCCTCGCTTGCTTGGATTTTATCAAGCAGGTCTCCCATAGTGTACTGTCAAAAGGAAACGTTTTATCAAGCAGGTCTCCCATAGTGTACTGGCAAAAGGAAACGTTTTATCAAGCAGGTCTCCCATAGTGTACTGCCAAAAGGATACGTTTTATCAAGCAGGTCTCCCATATTGTACTACCAAAAGGATACGTTTTATCAAGCAGGTCTCCCATAGTGTACTACATTTTACATTTGAGTCATTTAGCAGACACTCTTATCCAGAGCGACTTACAGTAGTGAGTGCATACACTTCTATACTTTTTTCGTACTGGTCTCTCATGGGAATCGAAGCCACAACTCTGGCATTTCAAGCGCCACTGAGCCACACGGGACAGTGTACTACCAAAAGGAAACGTTTAAAAAACAGAGAAAGTTAGCATAGAGGCAATCATCAAGAATCCATAGGTTTATTTTACTCAGTGTCACTCAGTGCACAGTTCCACAATAGAGATGATCTTCTAGCATGTTCTGGCCTTTCTTCCACTAACAGCTGCACTTGTCTTTTCTTAGGGGCACTGACTTTGCTGATAGTTGCTTTGATGAAAAGTTTGACTTGCTATGAATGTGATATGTGGTTGTCTTACCTAGCTACCCTGGATAAATGAGTCTGCTAAATGGCATATATTATTATATTGTACAGTTAATAAGTACCTTCCCCTCTGTGACATCCTCCTGCCCACTGATAACTGGGCCTTCGTACGGATTCTCCATCAGAAGTTTCTTCAGCTTCTTTAGCCTGGGATGCGTCTTTCTCAACTCCCAGTAACTGTTAGAAAAGCCCCAAATCTGGCGGGAAAAAAGGGCATTTTTAGCCCCGTATACATTTCATCATATTATTTGACACTACAACATTCTGTAGGTACTGGAGTGTTGTTGGTGTGTAACATTTGGGGAAAGTCGTACAGTACTGAGAACATTGAATGATGTAGCCACTGCGCAGGTGAACACAGTGCATTAGAAAAACATATAATATATCTCAATGCATCACAATGAACTCACTGTGTTATAATGTCTATAGTTATTTAGTGTGCGTGTGTAAACACGTTAACTTAATATCTACTGTACAGACGTTCAAGTCCAGATCAGTGATTTTCAAAATGGCTGTCACACAAGAGACATTCATTGTGTTCAGAGAGTTGTTAGACATCTACCTGTGCATGGACCAGCTGAGAGCTGGCCTGGTTGTCAGTAGTCAGCTGATCTGGAGTCAGGCAGCCAGGTACTAACAGCAGCAGGTTGGAGGTGTCAGCTATCTTCAGGTCATAAGTCTTGTCTTCACTGCACAGGACAGCTCTCTCATCCTGGTCTCCTCTGATAACAAGGCTGCAGCAGAGAACAAGGATAAAGGAGAGAGATTGTTGAGATGGTTGACGTGTAGAGAGACTGTTTAAGGTTGACGTGTAGAGAGACTGTTTAAGGTTGACGTGTAGAGAGACTGTTTAAGGTTGACGTGTAGAGAGACTGTTTAAGGTTGACGTGTAGAGAGACTGTTTAAGGTTGACGTGTAGAGAGACTGTTTAATGTTGACGTGTAGAGGCTGTTTAACGTTGACGTGTAGAGAGACTGTTTAACGTTGACGTGTAGAGAGACTGTTTAACGTTGACGTGTAGAGAGACTGTTTAACGTTGACGTGTAGAGGCTGTTTAAGTTGACGTGTAGAGCTGTTTAACGTTGACGTGTAAGGCTGTTTAAGTTGACGTGTAGAGAGCTGTTTAACGGTTGACGTGTAGAGAGGCTGTTTAAGTTGACGTGTAGAGAGCTGTTTAACGTTGACGTGTAGAGGCTGTTTAACGTTGACGTGTAGAGGCTGTTTAACGTTGACGTGTAGAGGCTGTTTAACGTTGACGTGTAGAGGCTGTTTAACGTTGACGTGTAGAGGCTGTTTAACGTTGACGTGTAGAGAGGCTGTTTAAGGTTGACGTGTAGAGAGGCTGTTTAAGTTGACGTTGTAGGTGTAGAGGCTGTTTAACGGTTGACGTGTAGAGGCTGTTTAAGTTGACTTAGTGTTTAATGAGTGTAGAGGCTGTTTAAGTTGACGTGTAGAGGACTGTTTAACGTTGACGTTGGGTTAAGGACGAGGCTGTTTAAGGTTGACGTGTAGAGGACTGTTTAATGAGAGCGTAGAGGAGAAAGATGGCAACAGCTGGATGAGTTGTTACACCAGGGCTGGACAAATCTCCTCCAATACAGGTAGTGGGTGGGTAGCCCTTGATCATGACTCTCAGTTCCATTTACATCAACATCGTGGATGAAGGGTCTCTGTAGGGGGTAATAAGGACCTGATTGTCTGAAATAACCGCATCGCTTGGATGAAGGCGTCTTCTGTAGGGGGAGTTTAAATAAGGACCATGACTCTGTCTGAACATTAACCCGCATCGCTTGGATGAAGGCGTCTTCTGTAGGGGGAGTTTAAATAAGGACCATGACTCTGTCTGAATATTAACCCATCTCTTGCAGTACCGTTCTGGAAGCATACGGACCTCCTTATCTTTCATATCGGCCAGAAATTATTTTCAAAAAAACAAAAAAAGGTACAATTAATACACATTTATAGGGTTAGGGTTCCACATGCCATATTTCCATGTTTCAGCGCTTGTTTACGGAAAACAGACGGAAGACAGAGCAGACTACCTGTGCTAATTAGCTATCTGTGTCTCCCAACACCTGTGTGTAAACAGAAGACAGACGCCACAAACGTGTTGTCACTGAAAAATAATGTTGGCTGCAACTGTTTTAAAACCGGTTAAAACAGTGTACAGTAAGTGTGTATTTTGCATTTGTGAAATTATTTTTTAAATAATAATATGCCATTTAGCAGACGCTTTTATCCAAAGCGACTTACAGTCATGCGTGCATACATTATTATTTTTTGTGTATGGGTGGTCCCGGGGATCGAACCCTCTAAATGTGATATGAAAGTAGAGTGATTTATATTTCTAGAACCGTACCGCAATTGTGAATCGATTCACGTTTAGTTTGAGTATTTGGCTGTTTTGGCTTCCGGATGTAAGGTCCTTGGACTAAGGAGTAACATTAGGCTCCTTTAGTCCAATATTGGACTAGAGGGTGTACAGCCTTTTGATCCATCCCTGCTTTGGTCCAACACACGGGATTCAGCTTATCAAGGTCCTGATCAGATCAATCGTAGAATCAGGTGTGTTAGAGCAGGGTTGGAGCAAAAGCATGCAGACATCCAGTAGCTCTGAACCCAGAACAAAATCTCGCGTGAACCAACCAACCAGTCACCTAGTACGGTTGTTTAGAAGAGACAACTCACGGCAAACTTTCTATTAACATAACTAGCTATGTCTATTAACGTAACTGTGTTTAATCTCTTAACTGTGTATTTATGATGAATTAGCTACATTGTAACTATGCAGATACTTTACCTCTTTCCTGCTTCTATGTGTTTACAGAGCGCGTCATCCAGTTCCATCAGGCAGTAGTCTCCGGACGAGATGCTTTCTCCGAAAGTTAAACAGTGAATTGTGTTCTGCAAATCATTCTCTTTTAGTTTGGCGATTTGTAGGGTAGCCTGTACCTCTTCTAATGTTCTCGACATTTGGTCCTAATATATAAGATATATATCTATTTTGTAGTGTAATCCAATCAAATGTGATTCTCGCTAGATCAACTTTCCCGCAATATATACCGGAAGTACGAAGGCATATTTGATTGACAGAGGCATAGGCCAATGAATGTCTCGATGACTTCACGTTCTCCCTCCTATGATGCACTCGATTTATGTCCCCGCAGCACGCTGAGTTCACCCGACATGGGTGCACGGTGCTAAAATCTACCACTGGAAATTATGAGATGGAACCCAACCATACCGCCCCATGTGGTGCGCTTGATCTAGCTCGCCTAGCACACCGGGTGAGTGCAGTTTGTTGGTTTGAGACTAGTCCACTGATCCGACTCTGTAATATTTGCATATACCGCGCCTTCTTGGTCAACTTCCACAGTGCCGTCAGCAATGCCCACTTGTCTTGAGCGTTGCCAATTTAGCAACTTTGTCGCTATATTAAGTGAGTTTTCAGACCCCTCCAGCGACTTTTATTGGTAAAAGATTCTAGCGACAAATGTTGATGTATTTCATGCTGCCTTTGTTGTTTTGACACAGGGGGTTTCTATGGTTTTGATAGCATTTAGCGACGTTTCCCACTCAATTCTGCCGCACATGACAGTTGGAGAAGCTCTCTGTGCAACAGAAGTCACAGCAACGACGCACACACATGCCGCGTTACGTGATAGTTGGAACTAGGAAACTCGGACATTTCCGAATTGCTAACGGGGTGCACGCGGCACGTGTATAACTACAACCTATTAGCAAGTCGGAAATATCCGAGTTCCGACAAGCACTTGAACGCGGCAACAGTCAGAGAAGCACAATGTGCGGCGGAAGACGGCGAAAACGTTACGTGGGGGACCGCAGTTGTGCCGCAGCTAAGCAAAATCGTGATGTGACGTCATCGCGGCAACGGTAAAACGTCATCTAGCGTCTTCTGGCGACAAATCAAGAAGCCAATAGCAGATCTCACTGAAAAATTGTTGGCGACACTGCACTGTGTCAACGTGCTTTTCATGATAGGATCGTGTAGTAAACAGAGGCAGAGGTGCGAGGGGAGCTCATTACTACTGAAGAAATATATGCAAATGTCACGAGGAATCGCTGTTCGTTGGATGAAACTTTACCGACGAGAAAATATTATGCATATATTTGATGGTTAGCGGACCAGTTTAATTTCTAGAATACAAAAGAAGTTCAACATTAAACTAGCCAAACTAGCCTCCCCTCTGGCATAACGATAGCAGCTGATAATTTTTCCCTCTGCGAAACTAGTTTTTTTGAAATGAATTTCTCAGATTATGCTGCTGGTTTGCAAATCTAGGACAACGTGATCTCGAGGAACAATAGATCAGCTATTTTTCATCCATGGTGGTTGCAAGGTAAATTATAAATTTTTGATGCATTTAAATGTGCAAGTAATGATCAAATACTACAGCACGTGTGTGTCAGAGAAGGACCACAGCAGGAGAGTTTTGCCTGTGATCATGGAGAATATGATTGCACTGTGAGCTAACGTTATCTAATATCCAGTTTATTTCAATAGATTGTGCTGTGCTGTTGATCTTCTGCAATGCATGATAAACAAATGACTGGTTACGTCACAGTTATGACACTGTAATACAGTATAGCTACAGTCATTAGGGCAGAATACAGTTGAGCTATTCAGACAGTTGCCTATCCATATGTAATTGACAAGCCATGCATGGTGAACTGTAGCACGTTTTCACAGGCGATGATGCCTTGGCTTGTGTACAGTATTTAAAGTGCTGATAATAGTTCCGTTATTTTGACAGTTGTAAAGAGATGGATGGTATCGGGAACACAATGCAGAAGAAGGCTGCGGAGCTCGAGCGCATGGCCGAGGTTCTGGTCACCGGAGAGCAGTTGAGGTAGGAGTGGCTGGCTCGAGCTGAGAGCTCTGTATGATCCTGTTCAAACTGTGTTGCGGCTGTTCAAACAAAGGCGTGAATTGTCCCCATTTCAAACCAATGCACAAATACAATACAATACCTGTCTGCAATGTGAGTGTGTATTGCATTGTCCTGGCCTAGTGCACACAATATGATTATTTCAAGTGTCAAAGGTTTTTTGTGCATCGTGTAACTGACAGCAATTATTTAATTCATTAATTGTGGTGTCAATCTGAAGATCACTGCTGCTTGTGTTAGTTTAAGGGAAATAACACCTGCTATTTGTGGACCAACAGAGCAAACACACACACACACACCCTTGGCCCATAATAGTGGTGCCATAAAAAGCACTATTGAAATAGTGAGATAGCAAGAAGGGACACCTTGTGAGTGTCAACATCAGTGAAATGACTAATTATAATTGGCATTGAAAGGTTTTATCACCTGTCAGATGTGTGTGGGGAAAGTTGCTGTGTGTTCGCAGGACTTTATCATCATGGTCAAATCACATCAATAAACTCAATGTCAGTATTCCCAATCACGATTCATCTTTGACCCTCACTAAAATGGTCTCTTTTAACTAGGGCTGTGATGATACCAGTATCGCATTTTTTTTTTTTTATACTGCAAAAATGAGAACAGGAAGCAGACCGTCCTTTAAAAACCTGCTGTATGTAGAATATTGTGTGCTATAACTTGGAATATAAATGTGTCTCTGGATGACAACGTAATGTTTTCCTAAAGGAGTTAAATATCATCCCAGCCCTACTTTTAACCTGCCACAGCATTGCACAGTACTAGTCTGGTGTAGTTGCCATGTCTTTTAATCTGCCACAGCATTGCACAGTACTAGTCTGGTGTAGTTGCCATGTCTTTTAACCTGCCACAGCATTGCACAGTACTAGTCTGGTCTAGTTGCCATGTTTTTCTCCCAACAATGTAATGACACATGCTTAGTGTAAATAAGAACAGGAAGACTTGTCTCTCATTGAATAGAGGTCATCTGGGGATAGGCTATGTCAGCGTCCCAAATCCCAAATGGTACCCTATTGCCTTTAGTGTATGGGAATAGGGTGCCCTGTCTTAGACATGCCACCACAGATGTTGCTGGCTACTGGCTAGCACTAGCAGTGCTGCCTGGAATAATTGGTCACAGCTGAACACAGTGCACCTGGCACCTGCCCCTTTGGCCCAGTTGAACAACAGTACAAGACATGCTGTTGTGTTGAAGATTAGCTTCACTCACATTATAACATGACATGAGCCTATGCTTCCTTGAGTTCTGTAGGGTTAGAATGGTATTTTGGACCCCTGGTTTATAATTATTGTGAGGAAACCAAGCCGTGTGGTTCATGGCGGGTTGCCCTGTGGGTTTAGGTTACACGCTGCGTCCCAAATGGCACCTTATGCCCTACATAGTGCACTACTTTGACCAGAGCCCTATAGGGCCTCGAGGCTCGGACTGAGCTGCCAAATCTAATCCAGGAGACGCTAGCCAGTAGTAGATTCTACAGAGACCAAGAAGAGCCAGAGGAGCAGCTGTAATGAATGATGGCTGTTTGTTAGCTTTCTCCATTTAACATTATAGGTAAATCACTCCGATAAACACAAGGGCTATCCAGGACACGTCTTGAGGACGATTACTTTTATTCCTAGTTCTTTAACTAATCCGCTTTCTAGTGGTTTTAGTTGTAGTGTTGTTCATGGGTCGCTGTCACTGACCAGTCCAAGAGGCTACATAACATTTGCATTACTCTGCTGTGAACATGTACTGTAGGTGCGCTTTGAGACGGTGTCGTCGTTAAGGTTAAAGGATCATTCAGTTAGACAGCTAGATTCACTTTCGTTGGCCAATCTTGAGCTTTGGCTCGTCAGCCTCAACCTCTCCTCTCCTGCTTGATTTAGTTGCACATCTGCTATCTTTCGTCATCTTCGTACTGAAAGAAGAGCCAGAATAGACAAGGAACCCAGACTGTGTGTAAAGAGTTTTTATTCTATCCTGTCTGTCTGCGGAGGCCTGGGACATTTAACGACCTGGACAGACACTCCTCCTCCTCACTCAGACCTGACTGATGACTGATTTATAGGAATTGATACCACCTACATGACAGACCTGACTGATGACTGATTTATATGAAGTGATACCACCTACATAACAGACCTGACTGATGACTGATTTATATGAAGTGATACCACCTACATAACAGACCTGACTGATTTATATGAAGTGATACCACCTACATGACAGACCACTTTTACTGATTTCAAAGTGATACACTCGTTTCAACCTTCATCTTTCAACATGTATTAGTTTAATCGTTCATTTAGATTCAAGATGAGAGGACATCTGTCAAACTTTATTGGAAGTGCACCACCTATATAAGGATTTCTTAATCCCTCTGTACATCCTCCTCAGACCTGTCTACTATCCCTCGTACATCCCTCACCTGTCTACTTATCCCTCGTAACCTCTCAGACCTGTCTACTTAATCCCTCCGTACATCCTCCTCAGACCTGTCTACTTAATCCCTCCGTACATCCTCCTCAGACCTGTCTACTTAATCCCTCTGTACATCCTCCTCAGACCTGTCTACTTAATCCCTCCGTACATCCTCCTCAGACCTGTCTACTTAATCCCTCTGTACATCCTCCTCAGACCTGTCTACTTAATCCGTCCGTACATCCTCCTCAGACCTGTCTACTTAATCCCTCTGTACATCCTCCTCAGACCTGTCTACTTAATCCCTCTGTACATCCTCCTCAGACCTGTCTACTTAATCCCTCCGTACATCCTCCTCAGACCTGTCTACTTAATCCCTCCGTACATCCTCCTCAGACCTGTCTACTTAATCCCTCTGTACATCCTCCTCAGACCTGTCTACTTAATCCCTCTGTACATCCTCCTCAGACCTGTCTACTAATCCCTCTGTACATCCTCCTCAGACCTGTCTACTTAATCCGTCCGTACATCCTCCTCAGACCTGTCTACTTAATCCCTCTGTACATCCTCCTCAGACCTGTCTACTTAATCCCTCTGTACATCCTCCTCAGACCTGTCTACTTAATCCCTCCGTACATCCTCCTCAGACCTGTCTACTTAATCCCTCCGTACATCCTCCTCAGACCTGTCTACTTAATCCCTCCGTACATCCTCCTCAGACCTGTCTACTTAATCCTCGTACATCCTCCTCAGGCCACCTGTCACTCTAGATTTCCCTCTGTACATCCTCCTCAGACCTGTCTACTTAATCCCTCCGTAACATCCTCTCAGACCTGTTACTTAATCCCTCGTAATCCTCCTCAGACCTGTACTATCTTTCCTAGAGCACGTTAACCTGACATACAGGACTCTAACACAATCTAATCCATCCATAGCTAATATCCTCAGACCTGT